TTGCAATTTGATAGGTATCATTTAAAATTATAGATATCATTTAAAATGTATAGTGAAAATAATAAAAAGTTATTGCTTTAATAGAAAAATAATAGAGAAACATTTTTTAACACACAGATTTAACATCATTTAAATGATCTTCGAATTCACATGAATTCAATTATACAATTTTTTTATTGAGAAATTTTAAACCTAATCATATGCTTTCAGTCAATTGTTATTATCAAAATTTATTCCATTTGCCTTTGTTTTCTATCGCAACAAGTTATTCAACTTATTATTCATAAGTTAAAAATTATGATTACGATAATGACAGTATCATCTATCAAAAAAACTGATTATTCGCTGATATAACAATATAGTATGTCTTTCATTTAAGATAAAAATGAAAGATAAGAACTTAAAATGCTAAATTATTTAAATTAAATTATTATCTTTATTTTAAGAATAATATAAAGAAAATTTTACTTTAAATGTTTTAAAATAAAAATATTTTATTTTATTAAAATTAAATAAATTATTTTTGAATAAATCTTATTTGAACAATTACGTTCAAATAAAATAACAATTTTATATTATATATTTTTATGATTATGTTTAAATAAATTATATTATATATACAATAATATAGTAATAATATATAGTATAAGATAGATATATATTATAGATAATATTTTAATATGTATAATAATATATATAATAAATTTATATGCATACAATATAATGTATGAAAAATTTGTGTGCATATAATATAATGTAAATATATGAAAAGAAATAAAACCATTGTAATTTTTAAAATTTAAATTAAATGTTTAAATTTTCAGAAGTTCAAAACATTTTGCTAATAATATAAAATTTTATATTGTTAGTTACCAAAGATCGTGTTTTTATTTGATTTTAAATTTAAATTTATCATATTTAACAAGATTAAATTACGATCTGATTCATAGTTATTTATGTACAGAAAGATTTATGTAGAAAAATTTCAATCAATATTGTATAACGAAATTGGTTCTTTAAGAATCCTGATTGCCTTAATGACTAACAATAAATAATGCAATCGCAGATCTAATATTGCATCTTCGTCGAAATAAAAATAAAAATATTTTTATCGCATCAACTATATAGAGATTTGAAAGATTTGAAAAAAAATTCAGTATTCATTTCTATTTTTCATATCGCTTTGTTTTTAAATAATAGTCATTTTATTTTTTTTTAATATCATAAATATATTATAAAGTTGTATTAATATAAAAACATATAAATGAATATATTTAAAATTCAGGAATTAGACAAAGATTTTTATTGATTTTAAAGAAATCTTGAAAAATTATTATTATAATAATTAATTTTTATTATTATAATTTTTTTAATTTTAGATAGATTTGTAAATTAAAAGCTATTTTTTGCACTCTTCACTTAATTCTTTTTTTTGTAGATTTATAGATTTGTAAATTTATTCGAATAAAAAATTACTTATTATTCACATTACTTCAAAAATTAATTTCATTTTTCTCAAATGACAATATCATATGAAAAAAAATTTAAGAAATTATGAATAAGAAATTATGAAAAAATTATTATCATTTTAAAATGATTTAAAAAATGAATTTATTTTTCAAATTACGTATCACGATAAGAAGAAATCGAATATAAAATACAATTTTTTCCAAATTAATTTATTTAAAAATTATCTTATCAGAAAATCATTTATTAGATTAATTCTTATAATAAATGACACAAAATTGTTAATTTTATAATAAATAAATCAAAAATTTATTATATAAAGATTTTATAAATTTATTATATAAAATTTATTATAAAGAAAAATCATAATTTAAATTAATTAAAAATCAAATAAGATTAACTTTAATATTTAAAAAAAATTTTAATTTTATTTTTAATAAATTTTTTTGTTTAAATTTTTTTAAGTACACGATTTTAATATCTTACAGAAATTAAATGATTCTTTTTGATAGAATTGATATTTAACTTTAGTCTCACTTATTTATTGTTGACAACAATTTATTTTATGTGTATTTATTTCACGATCAAAGTAGGCAAAATTCAACAATATATCAATGAGCAAAATTATTTTTTTTGTGAGTTTAATTGCTAGTTAATAATTTTCTATAGATAGTCTTTTATATTTAAGTTATTATATTTATTATATTTATTAAACTTTTCTATTGCTTTAGTATTAATCGAAGTGATTTTAATTGTATTCTATCATTTCATAATAATTGCTATTTTACTTTTACTCCTGTAAATTAAAGATCTTTGAATAGCATTAAACGAATTAAGAAATAAGACTATTTCATTACATAGTAACAATATTTAATTTTGCATAGAATAATATTTAATTTTAAATTTAAAATATTGTTTAATTACAAAATTTAGCAATTGATAAAATTTAAAATTAATAGAAATTATTTGAAGATCCATGTGAATTAAAATTAAAATTAATAGAAATTATTTGAAAACATGTGTCCAATTGATATATAATTCTGTACTAAATTAAATAAGTATCATTATACTAAATTTATGATTCAGATAGTATATTCTTTTTAAAATTACTGCTAATATAAATAATTACTGCTAATATATTTTTATGATCTTATTCTAAAATAAATTTAATTCTGTTTTATGAATAGAATAAGTTTAAGATGTGTCTCATATGAGGTTTTCAAAATTATTAAAAGATTATTAAAATTATTAAAAGAAATATAATATTTTATAATAATATTTTTAATAATTTAATTTATTTTTATTTGAAGTAAATTTATTCAGAATATTATAAATAATATAAATAACATAATTTTATTTGAAATAATAATTATTGTATTAATAACTAATAATAGTTATTGTTTTAATAACAATAATAATTATCTTAATAAAATTAATTTAGAATTATTTTTTTTAATATTAATTTTATTTTATATAATTAAATATTCAAATTTTCAAATTTTGTTTTTTCAGAAAATGAATAAAACTAATTAATTATTTATCTATAAAGTAGGAAGATTACGATTAAAAATATTTAATTGAAAAATAATAAAATAAATAATAAAATAATAAATTAGAAAAAAATTAAAAATTAAAGCATTTTATTATTATGTTAGTATATTTCTAATATAATGTAAATGTAACTTCTACTGAGTATTAACATATTAGCAAATGATCATAGTAGTCGAAAAAAAAGCATTGATATGTTCTTATTAAAATAACTTTTAATGATAAAGAGGAATTTTATATATATATCTTACAAATAAAAAATTATAATAAAATATTTATTTCAAGTCAATGTTAAGATTGTAAAAAAGAAAATTAAATAATTAAGATAAATAAAATTGAGATAAACATATAAAAATTAATATCAAATATGATATACAAAAACTCATCAAAGTAATGAATAAAAAATTACAAACAATTTATAATAAATAACATTCACTTTTTGTACAAAGAAAAAAATATACCAATTGTAATCGAAATGTTATAGGTAATTTCATTTGCATACGTATCTATATCAAGATTAATCTCGATATGTCTCTCTGCATATCTAATTTAATAGTAAATAATAATTATAATCTTGTAATGCATATAATTGATAAGTCATTAAACTCGAAACATATATTCATCATAACACAATATTAATAATTTAAAAGTCAAGCACTTTCTCGTTTGTTAAACCTTAACATTGCAAGATTGAATGCTATTCTTGAAGACAAAATAACTTTCCAACGAAGGAGATTAACGGAAATTATTCTATTTGCATCAAGAAAAAAATTAGAATAAGGAGAAGAACAATTATTTTTTTATTTTTATATACAATACTAGAATCGAAGGAGAATTCATGAAAAAATTCGAGAAAAATATTTAGTTGAAAGAGAAGGCCAATAATTATTCTAATTAAAATATAATAAATTTTTCGAAAATATTGATGAAAATCAATTCCAAAATGTTATTAATTAATAATTTTCAAAAAATTTTTATTATAATTTAATATTATAGTTTTAAATTTATTGTAAAAATATGTTTATAAAAAAACAATTTTTTTTAATGCTATTGAAATCTAGATATCTTATTGAAAAAAGTATTTGAAATTTATATATACAAATTCTTTTTTCGTCTCTCTATTTGTAGCCTTATAATAATTATAATAATTATCGACTTGTAAGAAAAATAATTTCATTTGTAAAATTTTTTACTTATCATCTATCTAAAATTAATATAATTTTTCCATAATTTATAAAAAAAAATCTAATTAACGAACAATTTAAAGCATTAAATAATATTGAAAATAATCATTTCTACAGGAATCTATATATATATATTATATACATATTATATATATATATATATAATACATACATAGTACATATAATAATGAACATATAAACGTTATAAAAATTATAAAATTTAGATAATTCTCATTTTTATTCATGTTCTCAATCCTGATTCAAGCAATCAATGGACAGATCTTGGAAAAATATCGACAAAATCCAGAGATATCTTTGTTTTATTACAAAATATATATGAGAATAAGCTTTTATTTTTACATTGAAGTAAAAATAGTCACGATTAATCGTAAGTACCTCGATCGCGTGACAAACATTCGAGGTCGATCTCTTAACATCAATCTAAAAATTTTTATACTTATATACAGGATACGTGATTCTACGTCATAATGGTCAACTTATTTTTATCTCGATCATGTTTTAAAATTCACAATTTTATTTTTTCGAAGCTCTTTTTTAAATATATATAAACACTGATGGCAGAAAAAAAGTGCTTTGTTTTATCATAATAATATCAAATATATCAAAATATATTTATCATAATAATATCAAATAATATCAAAATATAATCAAACAATAGCTTGTCATTTTATAAACATTATTTTAATCTAAATTCTTAATTTAATTGTTGTCTATTTTTATGATAATTAAAGATTTAAATTTTTAATTTTTAATGGGAAATTAATCATGACAATTCTGGAATAAGATTACTTTTGCAACTTATTTTATGCTAATGTTGTACAATTTTTTAGAAAACTAATAATTATTCACTAGAGATTAATATTCGTGATGAATATTTCGCTACAATTTTTCCACTTCTATAACTGAATTTTTGAATTTTTTAGATTTTATGCTTGATCTTCGTATCATATTACTCCTTAAGGTTTCACCACGGAGAGATGCTCTCATCGAGTTCCTCGTGCTGCATCTGGAAAATGATCTGAACATGGCAACTGGTGGTATTTCTTCATCTTTACGTTTTCTGAAAATTGAATTTAAGAATAAGTTTTAGAAAGTACAATAATCACAAATTGATTAGACTAAAAATTTCTTATTTACTAAAAATTTATATATATAACAATCACATATAATGCATAATAATTATGCATAATATTATTATCTGCCATTAAATTTTAATTATTAATTATTTGATTATCAATTATTATTTTTATTATTATATTTTAATGATTATTACTGTTTTTTTAGTCACTAAAAGTTAATTTTATTAAAAATTCTCAAATAAAAATTAAAATGAAATATGTAAAATTAATGCAAATTACATATAATTTAATATTAAATTAAAATTTATAATTAAGTTTTTGACTTTTTTAGGATTTTCATTATAATTTTCAACTATACATAATATTAAGCCAAAGAAAAAATTATCAACATAAATATTTATATAATATATATAACGTTTTACTAAATAATAAACTTTATTATCAGTAAATTATAAATGTTTATGTAAAATATTAAATTATTAAATTATGTAAATGTTTATGTAATTTATGTTATGTAAATTATTAAAATAAAAACGATTAAAAAAATTAATTTAAATGAAAATTTGTTTTATTTTTTTAAATATTATAATGCATACTTTAAATATTTTGTGTTTTTTTCATATCATATATATTTTGTAAATTTTATACATTCAAATTTTTACATAAATGCATAAATATCCGCTATCTAGTTATCAAAATTCGTTTATTCTTTTTAAATTTACTAAAAAAATTAAAAATATTAATATATATCTTAATTCAATATCTTAAATAATTGAAAATTATAAAATTATATACATTTAATAAAAAATTTAATAAAAAATCTCTTATGAATTTCGTATAAATAAGAATTTTGAAATATTAAAATTTTCTTCTAGTCATGATTTTACCTTTCGATACAAGGAAAGTCCCACATTTTCTGTTCTTTTCCAAAATCCTCTCCATCCTGCAGCGTTTGTGGAAGATCCTTGTCTAACGTTTCCGGTAGAAAGAGAGTCAGAAGACCACATATGATACCAAGAGTACCCAATACAAGAAGAGGCAGAATCGATGAAACGACATCGAGATACACGACAAAGGGTGCAAGGATACTAGCGACGTATCCCATTATATGTATCAAAGCTACACCCTGAGCTCTAACTACTGTCGGCAACACTTCAGCTGCATATTGGAGACCGATATTGTACGAGATATTTATCCAAAATCGACCCAGAATTGCCAAAGTAGCTGTATAAATATCTGAAAAAAAATATTAAAGTAAAATTTTTATTTTTTTAACAAAAAATTTCATTTTAATTAAAAAATAAAAAACATTAAGTTCGTTATTATTTTTAAATGGTTTATTTTATCTTAATTTATATCATATTATTATGTTCGTTCGTTTTCCATATATTTCTATGTGTTTCAAAAAGGAGATTTTAAATCTTATTAATTTTTTGTAGATGAATGTAAAAGACACATAAATATTTATATGCTTTTTTAAATAGCATCATGTATTTTTTAATGCATTATTCTCATATTTTTTGTAAAAAAATATCAATCCATTTTTTTCAAAATTCATTAAGAGATATTTTAATTTTAGTTTTACTATAAAATCATGATTTTATGCTAATATTGATAAATGAAACTAACATTAACATAAAAAAATTATAATTTCACAGCAATATAAAAATATTTTCTAAAATTAATAATTTTTTAATAAATTTTATAATTTTATATTTTTTTATAGAGAATAATAGTCTAGTGCAATTAATATATTAAAAAATACATAATTTCATTTAAAAAAATATTATATTCAATCATATATTCAATCTTTATGTGTCTTTTTATATACAAAAAAAAACTTTCACGTGTTCAAATACAAAAAAAACATTAGAATATATTTTTACAATTAATCAACTTATATATTTTCGTTCGATAATAATAGTGACGTAAATCAAAATGATAATATCAAATAAGTCATTGTATATTATATGTTATATTTTTTTTCATTCACGAGAAACATTCTCTAAGTTCAAACAGAAGTTTATCTTAGAAAATAAATCCCATTGAAATTATCTCTCCTATAATAAAGAAGAATTATGTTTGATAATTCTCCTTATAAATATGTTCTTCATCATTTTTAAAGAATATTTTCTAATATCTAATTATAAACAAAACTTTATCTTAGAAAATAAATTTATATTATCTTCTATATATTCTTCACTTCTATGAAAAAAAAATATTATTATTATGAAGAAATTCAATAAAAGTAAGAATTAATTCTAACAACTTACTGTAATTAGATTATTCGATAAGAATAAAGAATAAAGAAACATATAAAATCAACCAATCAATCAAATCAACTTCTTAATTTAAAAAATAAATGTAATTTTCATACGTGTTATAAAAGATTAACGATAATAATAAATAAATAATTAGACAAGAAAAAAACAATATAATAGTGTATAATAAATAATTATAATAAATCGATAATTCATGAAGATATTAATATACAATATATTGGTCTAATATAATATAAGACATGTATATTTTATAAAAGCAAAATAAATTAATATGCTATTATCCATATATTCAGTAAATTATTTAAATATATAAATATTGTCAAATTATTACATTATTTACTAGAAATTCCTTTATCTACTATATGTCTAATAATTATTTAATATTATCTATCAAATCGAAATTTATCTTTAAAATTCAATCACGTTCGATAAATTAATATTTAATAACAATATATCATATCATTTATTTCAATAGCAAGTATTTTTCAGAGAATATAAAAAGAAGATATAAAAAATAAATATATTCATAGCTTCTTTAATTCATTTCTTCATTTTATTTCATTAATATAATAATAAAAATAAAAAATAAGAAAAATAAAAATATTTTACATTAAATTTCTTAATATTTTATAACTACTTAATCTACATAAATTAAAAAATGAAAATCTCTATATAGAGTGTTAATATTTTTATGGGATATTTTTAGAGATTCGAATCTAGAGATTAAAACAAACAAAAGTTAATGAACAAACATGTAAATTATTATTTTATTTATTAAGTTATAAACAATTTTGCATTAAATAAAGCAAAAATAGAGTAAAATCTCATTATTTCGGTTATATCACATTTCTATCTCACTTCATCTAACACAAACTTAAAATATTTATGATTTAATAATGAATCTCAATTAATATATTCGTATATTTTTTTGCATATATATTTTTTTGTACATATATATTATATATTATATACATATATATTATATACAACTTTTATATTTATATTAATCTCTAAAATCGATTCTTTAAAGATATCTCTCGAATATATTAACATTTTATATAAAAATATAAATACATATATGTAAAGAATATCCCAAAAATATGAAAACAGTTAATTGAAAAAATAATTTTAAAAAATATTATAATATATATATATATAATTTTTTATATTTTTATATACATATATATATATATATGTTTATAAAAGTTGTTATTGAAAGCATACATATTCATCAAGAAATAAAAAAATCTTAATAAACATGAATAAAAATTATTAGTTTTAGAGATATCAAATTTTTTCTATTTTAAACCTTAATAACAATATAATAGATTCTATTTCAATTTTAGATATTTAGATTAATTTTAGATTATTAGATCAATTATGATATTTGAAACCAATGCAAAGAAATGTAAACTTAATTATATTAGCACTAACCTCGAAAATCTTTCAATATATGTGTATTTATAGAAGACGATATAGAAATGTTAAAATGAATAAATATATATATGTTATAAAAATAATACATTATAATTAATAACAAAAATATTTCATACTGCTAAAATTAATGATTTAAATCCACGTTTATTAAGATTTTTAACAATAATTTTTGTAAACATTTTATATATTTAAAAAAAAAATAAAATACTTTGTAAAACATAAAATATTCACATAAAATAAATTTATTATAAACTATAATATGTGATAATGTGTAATTATTTGAAATCATTTATTCCATTAAAATAAAAAAACAATATAACTTATTCAATAAAATGTAAAATATAAAGTAAAAAAATAAATATACGAACTATTGGAAATTATAGAAGCCCAAATGCTGAATACACCAGAAATGACAAGAGAACAACAAGCTAGCCATCTTCTGCCCCATCGATCGAGAACGAGCGTGAGGAACGTGTCTGCGGGTAATTCGGTTGCTGCAGCAATCGTGAATGTGACAAACACGTTTAAGCCTAAATTATTGACGTTTCGTACGTGACCATCGAATACTAAAGAAATCGCCATCCTAAATAACAAAAAAAAAAACAATTTCTATGCGATAAAAGAAAGCATCATATTTCATATGAAATTGCAAATTATTATAGTGACGTCAACTATGAACAGATATTTTAATGCAAATGATATAAAATTTTGTGAAATTCTGCAATTTTGATCAAATTTTTTGATATTTGTAAGATAATACATACCAAATAATGATGAATAATATGGTGATATTTCGTAGACGTGGTGTTTTGAATAAATCCAATACTGAATATGTTTTATCAGCTTCCTCCTCTTTACATATTTTAGCACAAGTTTCCTATTAATACCAAATTTTAATTCCTTAATATTTATTTTTATTTATGTAATACTAAAATATTTCAAATACTTTAATTTGATATTTATAAAGTTTCACGAAATATTATATTAAGTTGATAGTAAAATAATATCAATTTCGCGAATATAAATAAATACATATATTTAATTTTGAAATTATTTGTATAAATTATTATATTTATTAAAAAATTATTATATTTATTAAAAAAATTTTTTTATTCATATATCAATAAATTTACTATTCATTCTTAACTTTTATATCTATATAAAATTTTTAACATCTTTTTAATTTTTAATTTCAGTAATTTACTAATAAAATTGTAATCTTAGGAGGATATATCAATAGCAAATATAAATAATAATGACCATTTAGTTGGATTTGAAAATCTTTTCATAAAAAGATAAAAAACTATAAATTGAATTTTAAATAAAAAAATAATATACAAAGTAACATAAAAATAATAGATAACTAAATATTAATATAAAATTAATATAGAACATAAATTGTAACGGTTAGTTATGTTGTAATTCAAAATAACGGTTAAATTTGATAAACCAAATATTTACTAATACGTATGTTCACTTGCAACATTTATTTCAAAAATACAGTAAATATTTTCTATAAATATATTTATATTTTCTTCAATTCATTGATACAAGTAATTAAAAATAGAAATATATTATATTTAATTATAACTGCTTAATCTATTAATTTCTAACTCTATTGAGTGCAGAATATTTTAGAAATATAAAATATCATAAAATAAATTTATTATAAAAAATAATATGTCATTTAAAATAATTTATCTTATCAAGAATCAATATAATTTTATTATTAATCATATATATATATATATAAGACATTATGTAAAACAAATAATTACATATAAAAATAAATTTAAAAAAATAAATAAAATTTTTATTTAAGACTTGTTGAATATATTAAGTATTGAAAATTTTTAATACAAGTATAAGAAAAACTAATTAATTCGCAATTAAATACGAATAAACTATTAATAAAGAATTATTATAAAAGAAATTATGCTAAAAAATATAAAATAATTGTTTAAACTTTTGTTTTCCAAAAAATAATATTTATTGAGATATAATATTTATTGAGAATATAAATAAATATAAAAATTATGTTTCAAAAAATCATTTGTGAAAATAATATTCGATGAAGAAAAAACGAGAAGAACCTATTTCACTTGAAAAATTTTTAAAGTTCAATAACTTCAAATTAAAAAATATTATTCTTTCTTCTTATTTATTTTTATTTATACACGTTATCATTTTTAGAATTACCTCTTTTACCTGATTGTATCATTACATGATAGCTTAGTATGTATAAAATAGAATAAAGATAATAGAAAGATTAATAAATTGATTTCTTACACGGAATCGCTTGTAAACGTCATCGGGTACCTTGGTGCCGTTTATTCGCTCGAATTTTCCCAGAATATTAATGGCCTTATCCACTTGACCTTGACTGACTAACCATCGAGCGCTTTCCGGTATCAGCCATGGCGTCGCCACGGCTAGAACAAGAGGAACTGAGGTTGCAATGCAGGTCATCCTCCAATCGAGTAAAAAATAGGCGATCCATGGTAAGATACAAGACGCGAACGTAAAGAACATGGCTATCGACATATTCGCCACAAAAGTTCGCCATTTTGGTCCAACATATTCTAACACTGGAATAAAAAAAATATAATGTTTCAAAAAATCATTTTTGAAAATAATATTCGATGAAGAAAAAACGAAGAGAAAATTTTAAATTATAAATATAAGAAATAAATTAAATTTAAATTATTTAGATTAGATTTCTATAAAATTCTGTCTTATAAATATAAAAAATAATTATATTTATTATTATTAAAAATTTGCTATTTCAATCTAATGTTTTTTAATAAAAAACATAATATTTTAAAATGTTATTTGTAAGAATAATATTCAATGAAAAAAGAATGAAATCTAAAATTTCATAAAACTTCAAATTATAAATATAAAAAATAAATATTTAGATTTCCATAAAATTCTTTTAAAAATAAAATATATAATAAGATTTCAATTAATCGCGAATATCCTAGATCTCGATCATCTAGAAATAAGGATAATCTAAAATTAAGGATTTGATTTTCTATTATTAATATCAAATAATATATATATATTATATATAATTATTTTATATATATTTTTATATTATATAATTATATAATATATATATTATATATAATTATTTTATATTTTTATTTCTCTATAATCAATATTTCTTTTGATCAGTTATTTGTCATTTTTGAAGTTAATATAATTATTATTAGATAATCATTGTAAATTGTACATATTAATACATATTTACTTATAAATGAATATTTAAAATATAAAAATAAATTTTTAAAAAAATTTGTATTATAATACATAAAAAATGCATTCGTGGTTATTTCTTCCTGAGTCCTAATTATCCGTAATTAGATTTTTTATTTATTCATATTTTCTTTTATTTATTCATACTTTTTGTCATTTAAACTAATTAATTAAGATCCCAAAGTAAATGATTAGGTTGTCATTGAACATGAAAGTTCGCTATCTTGATTCAAGTTATTAAAAAAAGTTATTAAAATAAAAAATATAATATTTTAAAAAATCATTTGTAAAAATAATATTGAAATATTAATAAAAAAAAATTTGAAATGTAACAAAAAATTGTATAAATATAAACTTAAACTTTTTTATCTCACATATCTCTCTATTGTGATTCATTTCGAAATGAAAATGAAAGAATAAAAAAGTGAAATTAATAATAATTGATATTAGATATATAAAAATATATAAAAATTTCAAACAAAAAAGTATATTTAATATGATTTGAACATCATAATTTTTACAAAAAAAAACTATAGTCAATTATAATGAAACTATTATTTAATTATTGAAAGTAATTCCGGATTAAAACCAAGACAATTAAGTGATTAACACTGTTTCTTCATTAAGAATAATTATTCTCTATTTCATGGCAAGTACAAATAATCATTGTTTACTGGTAATAAATTTCCACACATTTGCTACTTCCTATATTGTTACACAATTAAAAAATTAAAACCATACTTCCATTTATTAAATATACTTATGAGACTAATCATCTCTTCATTCAAAAGTTATTTCAATCAATCAAGGTCACTTTAATTTCTGTAATCCACTATAAAAATCGAATAGTATTTATCTATATATAGCAAAGAAGTTTTACAGTTTAAAAATTTTTTTGAATAAAATAAACAATGTTAAGAGAAACTACGATAAATAATTTTGTGTTTAAATTACAATTAGTTAATCTTCTATATGAAATAATTAATTATTTTCATAATTGCGATAAATTTTTTAAATATATAATAATAACAAAAATTAACAAATAAATTGATTGAAATAGATCATAATTTAATTATGGATTATATATATATATATATATATATATATATATATATTATATCAGGATTTTCTTTTAATCATAGAGTCTTTAATAAAATAACACGTTCGATTAAGCAAAATCGATTTTTTGATTCAAATTAAGCTATGATACTATGTAATTATAAAATACAATTCAAATAATATTATTATAAATTAAATAAAAAATTATAAAAAATATAATATCAATAATATTTTAATTGTTTTTTTATATATTTTATATATATTTTTTAAATATATTCTCCTTATATAACAATTTAATGTTTTCTCATTCTTTATGACAAATAAATTAATCAAGAAAAGATATTATTTTTATTAAAAACATCATAAAAAGAAAAGATCAAAGATATTTCTTTTGTTCTATTCGTTTTTTTAATCAAAATATATTAAAAAATGATATTGTGAATTTTTTCGCAACACATTGAATAATAAACAAAGGAATTGATTCGGGAAAACATTAACTCAAAGTTTTAATATAATTATTATTATTGTTATTAATATTAATATTAATATTAATATTAATATTAGAAATTATTTCATAGACACATTTCCATTAGACTTTTTTCTTTTATGTTGATATCAACATATTCTTCTGATTTATATTAATATTTCACTTAATATGATTTAACAAGAACCATGGATAGGAAAATTGATTATATATACTTAATAATATACTAATAATATATACTTAATAATATACTAATATATACTTAATAAATGTGCATTAAAAAAGATTAGTTAATAGTTTTTAAATACTTTTTCAGGATATATGTTCCATTATGTAAAATAAAATTTATCCATACTTATCTTGCTAGATAAGTATGACAAATTGATCGTTTGAATAAGCAAAATTAGCATAATATCAAAATTATATTTTTATGTAATTATTTAGTGCTATAATAAAAAATTCACATTATTTAGCTATTATAAAAAGAAATCATATTTTAAAAAAGATTATAATTGCTATAATTTAACATTATTCACATTCTCTATAATAAATAAAATGATCAAGAAAATATTACATTATTCTCATAAAAACAGTGTAGAAAGAAAAAACCAAAGATCCCTCTTGTCCTTTCTTATTCTACTTGTTTCATCATTTTACCTATCAAAGTTTATTATTTTTAACGTAATAATATTCGCTTAGAAAAAACATTCGTTTTTCTCTCAGTTTTTACCAAGATTTGTTGCTAACATTTGTGCAATTACATGATTATATTAAACCACGATTTCTCTCGTTTATCACAAAGAATGAAAATTCTGTATGCAAGGTAGCAAGTTGAATTACAAACGTTAGTATTAAAGAGCAATAATCATCGCCAATATCTCGCGTGTCCATAAATCGATCGAGCAATGTCCAGCACAAGGACATTGTTAACGTTTCGAAACTAATTCATATTTTTTCTCTCATTTTTTTTTCCTCTCTTTTTTATTTTCTGATTTTTCTTTTTTAATTGATCGCACAATATATTCTCTTGTTACTTACATATTTTTTGATATCTTTGATATTATATGTAATTTGTAAATAATTTTAATAAGAATTTAAAGTAGATGACTATTATAAATACCATTATAATTATTATTAAATTATTAAATTCGATAAATCTAAAAAATCAACACTTAAACTACTTTTGAATTAATTTATTAAGATATCAGATCTATATATAGATCTTGACCAATAGATATCCAATATTTTGATGATTTTGACATACAGTGAAAAGTATAAGTAAATAATATTCGATAAAAAGAATTATCGATTTAAACTATTATAATTTCGTAAAAAAAAAAATCATACAATATCATGTGAATTTTTTTTTTTAAATATATAAGGATATATATAATATATTTTTCTCAGTTTTTTTGACAATTTTTCACAATTTTTTTTCAAATTTTCCACAATTATTTTTAAAATTTTTTATATTTATTATTTTTTATCATTGAAATATCTTAAGCATTTTTCATATAATAAATAGAAAAGTAACGATATTTTTTTCCCAAAAATTTAAAAAATTTAATTAGCTAAAAAATTTTTATTAAATTTATAATAAACTTAAAAATTGATATATTTTTTTTTACAATGAAACATGATTTTTTTATTAAGTTATTGCATTTTAAACATAAACGAAAATTTAATATTTTTTTAATTTTCGTTATCCTAACATTCAAAGTTTAATAATTTAACGATAAAAAAATTATGTAACAAGTTTTAGATATTGTAAAAAAAATTTTAATTTTTAAATCTATTGTGAATTCACGAAAAAAATTTTCAATAATTTTATAAATGAAAAAAAATATTTTTATTTTTTTATTTGCTATATTGAAAAGAACAAATTCAAAATTTATACTGATTGTTATACGATTTTTTTTTACAAAATTATAACAGTTTAAAATATCAACACGTTTTTATCAAGTATATAGATTCAATTATATTCTTCACTAGCTCTTGTTTCTTTTCGATTTTATATCTCTATTTTTTTATTTTTGTATCAAAAATTGATATCTAAAACTTTTACTTTAGAGCATTAATGCATTATTATATGAAACTTCTACAAAGATTTAATGTTTATGTTCTTTCACTATACATGGTACAAAAAGACTCGTAAAAAGTGTGACAAATGGAATATTCTTAAGTATAATATAATTTCTTAACAGATATAATAAATTTCCACGAACAGATAATCAAGTATAAATAAACTCATATTCGACAGTCAATATCTTAATTTTTATGACTTTAATTTTATATATTAAATCCTGTTGTAAATTATTTATATATAATATTAATAACTTTATAAATTACAACTTAAATTAGAAATTTCTTTTTTAAAATTTGATTATTTCATGTTGCCTAGATAATTAAATGACTGAGAAATTTTTTTCATTGATAAAATCTCATTTATTTTTATTATCAAAATTTATATTATTATAGAACTTTATATGCTAGAGAATTCATTGATTTGGAAATTATAAAATTTTATTAATAACATTAAATTTTTTTTTCATGCAATATATATCAATGTGCAATGTCATTCAAGAAACAATAGAATTTAAGATTTAATTAAGAGATTTAGACATAAAATGTTTAAATGAAATTCTCACAATAATTATGATATTTAAAAGAAATTCTCACGATGATTAAAGTTAAAATTAATGTAGATAAAATTCTTACAATAGTTATTTGATAAAATTGTCATGTTTTGATTTCTAATTAAAATAATTTTTTACTTTCAACCCCAATCATTATTAAAATAAAATTGTTATATATATTATATCTAATACATCTTTTAATAATTGTATATTTATTAAACCTCTATTACACTTAAATTTCAAAGATAGAGCTAAAAGTAGGCTTCAATTTATCGAAATTTTTAAATAAAAGAGATTCAATAAATGAAAATTTGTCATATAAAGATATTGCAATATTAATATTTTTCCAAGGAATCAAAGAAAAATAAAATCATAAACATCATTTTTTGTTTTCAACTATTTTAATCGATTAGTTGTCAATCATTACACATAATTATACAGATAATTATTTCAAATTATATAGACATTAATGATAAAAATTTATTTGTTTAAATTTTGTAAATTTGACTTGTAATAAATTTTGTAAAAGTTTAATTTTTCTGAATTTGAATTAATATATTTCAATGTGCAGCAAATAATTCAACTTAAGAAATTTATATTTGATTTATCATGATAATGAAAAGAAAATAAACAAAATTATAATCTTATCAAATTTTTCAAGTTATAAAGATTTAAGTTACTAAAGCTCGACTATAATAAAGCTTATAACTTTGTTCTAAATAATGAGAAAATTAATTTTCGAGTTTAAAATAATATCAAATAAATAGCCATGTGAAAATATTTTTCTTGTATGAGTTAAATTTAAAAAAATAAAAAATAAATAAATAAATAAAATATAAATTTAAACAACATTTTATTATTAAAATATAATTTTTTAATTTTAATTTTATTTCATCTAAAAACTTTATTTCCATACACAAACAAGAAGTTCATTGTTGAAAGAATGCATATTTTATTAAAAAAAATTAAATAAATTATTTTATAAATTTTTTTTTTAAAAAAGATTCAAACTTTGTTTATATTTTTTTAAATCTAATAAAAATAATCATTTCTATCACTTTTCTTTCGAATTTCATTTATTTTAACTCGTTATGGTCTAATATAAAGAATATACACATTATTATATTTTGTTTTTCTCAAAAATGATTAATTAAAGAAAGTGATGGAAGAAAAAATTGTATCTTTTTAAACAGCATAATGATTTATATATTTGTTTTGAAGCATACTTTCACATGATATAAAAAAATTTCTAGCCTCCCATTTAAAAAATTGAAACTAATATTGAAATCTTAAAAAAAAGTATAAATTACAAAAAAATTATATGAATCATTTTATATTTAAAGGCAATATAACTTTTTTTTCTTAATTTTCAAGAAAAACACTGGAAAATAATAACGTAAACATTCTATATACATAAAAATAAATATTTGTTTGCAAATCAATGAATTCGATATAATTTATTATCCTCTCGAAACGAATTAATAATATTTATCTTGGTTTCTATCTGCGTTTTACTTTTCTGAAGAGTCAATTAACACATACGATCTAACATAAGATTCATACAAATCGAATCATTTTTCTAGTTTACCAAACTTTACTAAACTTTATTTAAATATTCATTACCTATTAAAAAATCTTGACAAAAAAAATTAAAAAATTCAAAGTATAATCAACTAGTTACGATTTGTTCATAAATCTCGTCAACTTGGCCTAGTTTTCGGTGAACAAGTCATAAATTTTTCCAATCTCACTTGAGTCATCGAGTCACGGTCTGTACACGCCACTTGAGTTTCAATTTTCACGGGTGGAATGCTATCAAAGGGATACTTTGCTATTTCAAAGAAATCTGTATTAATTACTCGCAATGAACTCTATACTGTATTAATTTTATGTATACATGTGCATTGATACTTTTTTTTTTTATATATTATATTAGTATTCTATATGTAGTCTTTTCTATAACAGAAATATTTCAATATATTAATGATATATTATTTATTTAAATCAGACTTAGAAATATTGATTAGAATTTTATATGAAATATTTTAAACAAATTTATTTAAAAAATATATTCGATAATATTTACTAATATAAGAATAAAAATTTATCAAAATTTTCTAATCAGAATAAAAATTTATTAAAAAATTTATTAAAGAAAGATTAATGAGAAACATATAAAAGAAGTAGGCTAAAAAAAGTTTATAAAAACTTGTCAAAATATAAATAAATTATAATTTTAAAATAACTTATGAAAAATAAATAAATAAAATAATATAATATATATTATTAATATCGAATGAAAATATATTACGATTTTTTAATTCAAAGAAAACATTTGTTTAAATTTTATATATATTCACAATCATGAAAATATTGAAAAGATTATTTATTATTCACATTCGCTTTCTACTGGAAATACGTTCACTTCTGATATAATATAGATGTTTAGTAACTGTATATTTAAGCAATTGAACTGGAACTAGAATTTCATCTAGTTATAAGAGATAAAAATTATAATTGATAGCAATTTTTTATTCTTCAGTTTTTTATTCTTCAGAGATCTATCGTGTAATTACTGTAAAAATATAATTATTGTAAAAATATAATATATAATAATCAAATTTAATAGCACAGTGAAATAGATAAATCAAATTATATTCTGTATTACAAATTTTTTAAAAACTATCATCGAATTTGATAATATTTATTTAAAATATTTTTATTCTGTATTATAGAAGAATGCTCTATATGAGAGGCGTCGGAGAAAGGAATTTACGTCATTTATCTTCAATGATGTAAATTCTCTTCTCCATATCTTGCGAATATTTATAGAATATTCTTTATTATAACTATGCAGAAAAGAATAAAATATAAAAATAAAAAGAATGTTAAAAATGTTAGATTTGATGGCAGTTATCTAAGTAATAAAAAATTAATATGTCATATGCTATACGTTAAAAAGAAATTAGAGTGATACTTTCTTCTTCCAAGAATCATCTTTAAAATCTTTTTTATTTAAAATCAAATCGTTTATATATTAAATGATTATAAATTAAAAAATTATTTTTAAATATTATAAATATTAACTATCATTTATATACATACATACAAAAAAATATTTTTTTCTTCGTTTAAAAAAAAAGAAAATCAGAAATTTTATTTTGATCATTATTGTTGAAGAATAGTAAAGATATTTCAATTTTTTCAATTAACTTTAAAAAAATTTCAATTTTCATTAGAATAAGGATTGTCGTATAGTAGTATGTTTTGTTACAAACACAAAAGAATTTGAAAGCATATGTTGCTTGAAAAAAAATCAGTCGTAAATCAAGTATAACAAAAGGCAATATGCTGTAAAAATTATACGATGACTTAAGTCTCAAGATCTTTCTATTTACTATAATATTCTCAATATATATTCTCAAGTTTTATTTTAGATTTTACTTTAAATTTTTAATTCAAATTAAATTATACAACATATAATCTCTATTTTATGTGTATTTAAATAAATATGTTATATAATAAATAAAATATAATGTAGTATACATATATTGATAATAAAATGAAAAAATGAAAAAAATAAATATCTACTATATCAATACTATATCAACATATATTACTGTGATTACTGTGAATTTATTTATTACTGTAAAAATATTTAAATTTATATTATATAATATAATATTATATAAAAATAATATTATATAATACAATATAATATTATAACAAAATTCATCTAATGAAAATTTATATGTAATTTATAATTTATATGTAATATAATATACATACAAACTTTTTCCATAGAAATTTTCATTTCTATAGTAAAATATTATACATTTCATTTTTAATTAATATTTTCTAAATCATCTTTTGATGAATATTACAAAAATTCTCTAAAATGAATTCATACGAAATGCTACGAATAATTTAAAAAGATAATAAAAATATTAAAAAATTACCTAATATATACATCATAGTAAAGCAGTTATCGAAGGCAAATCCGACAAAAAAGCGACATAACGCAAATTGCCAAAAAGTATTCGTGAATGCCGTAGCCACTCCTGCGAGAAATCCCATCATATTAGCTCCGATCAAAGCTGGTATCCTGCCATATTGATCGGCGATCCATCCAAAAATTAACCCTCCAAATATGGCGCCAATGAAGAAAATACTTTGAGCCACGGTTGGCAAGGAATCGTATTGGCAAACCCATCCCAGCTACAGCAGAAAACTACGATCGAATGATTTACTTCTGGATAACAAAAAATATCTTAAAAATTTTATATAGAATTGAAAAAAAGAATTCGTTATAATAAAGCGAGCTTCAAGCTTCTAATGAAATACAATTCTTTCATTTTTTTTTTATTAGAAAAAAGAAATGAAATTTAATTCTATATATCTTTTTGTGAAAAGCGAAGTTCTTTAAAATTTCTCGAAAGTTTTCTTTTTAACAAACAATACAAAAATTCACTGGAAATTGAAACTGATGAAATTCAGAATAAAATGAAAGATATTCGAGAATATTTTCCAAAAAATATCAATTTGCGTAATATCTTTAGCAATAAATAATATTTCATCATAAAAAATTATATTTTGTATAATGTATTTATAAGAATTCTTTTCTTTATTTTACCACATAAATCTTCTTTATCTTTCATAATTTTTTAAAATAAGTTTTTTTTAAAATAATGATCAAAATGGATTTTATATATTGTCAATAATATTTTATTACAGTAGATTCCCATTTATGCGATCTCTATTTTAACCATTTAATAGTTATTATAACAACAAATTATAATTTTCTAAATTCATTATTATTTTTATATATCATTAACATATAATATTGATATGTTATATTTTTTATGTATAAATAAAAAATGTTTTATGTGTGACATATGTTTTTATTTTATTTACAATTTATAAATATGATATTATTAAGTTAATCAGCATTTGTTTATCTGGCCATTTAATTATCCAATAATAATATATTATTTATAAAATTTTATACAGCTTATATATCGACAAAAATTTTATTTTTTCAAATAATATATACTTTAACTTATTTGCAAAATAATCGAATTGGGTTTTAAAAATTTTATATAAAAAATCATTTAAAAAAATAATTTTTTATATAAAATTATCAAATTATCAGAAATCATTATTATTCTATTTCACATATAATTAAGAACTCAATAAAAAACAAGCACATATGAATATCAATTTTTTTGATTTTTAAATCATTATTTCATTTGTTCATTCCACAATCTTTATAATATTATATATATTTTATTGAATAAAATCATATTTAATATAATCTCATGTGAACTTATAATATTCTTAATTAGTAAATTTTGTTTCAGAATACTTTTGATATTTGAAAAGTACAATAATGTGGCAAAACAATTTTATGAATTTTGAAGATTTATAAAAAAGATATGATATTTATAAAGATATATTTATAAAGATATTTATAAAAAAAATATTTATGTAATATTATTTTTTTATCTTTAATTATCATTTAAATCATAATTTTCACGACATAATTTATCTGACTTCTGTTTCTTGATTAATTTTGCAAATTTTTCATCATTGTTTTCATCATATTGGTTATTTTCAATATTTTCAACTTTTCTTGATCTGATATATCAAGCTTTAATATTTTTGTCTTTAAATAAAACATTTTAATATTTTTTAATCAGTTTTTGTTTTTCGAATTTAATATTTATTACATTTAAATAAAAGAAAAAAAATACAAAAAATAATCAAGCGAACTACAATCTAAAAAATATTGCCATATTAAATTAAAATTAAATAATTTGTAATCAGTTTTTTAAAATATCCAAATGAATGAAAACCATTATTTTGATGCAAAATTTATTTATTAATTTTTTTCAAAACTAAATAAAAACTAAATAGTATTTTATTTTTTCATATTTAATATTTTTAATAAAAATTAATTTTTTTTTTATTCTTTCTTAACTTTCAAATTTCTTTTACCATTTCCAATTTTATATTTTTCAAAATTTTTTAACAATTTTCTTAAAAGTGACTTGAAATTTATTTTATTTAAAAATATATTTTTTAATCAAAAAATTAGGATTTTTTTCACAATTTTCAACATTTTTCAAATTTTTAATAAAATTTAAGGGGTGAACGAAATTTTATAAATCTATAAATTTTATTAATGAAAAAAATAAAAATATAATATAAAATATTTCATTAAATATTTTAATATATTTCACATATACATATTAATAATTTACATATTATGGTAATATCTTATCATTACATAATTATTTTATTATTTTTTACTATATTCCTATGCCAGGCAATTTTTCTGACATGAATCATTGAGAAAATCTGGATTTTATTTAAAATTTATATACAAATTATTAGTTATTATATTAATTAAAAAAAAAATTCTAAATTTTTGATAAAATTATCCAACAAAAAGAATAACAAAGAATGCACTCAGAAATGTCGAAAAGAATATAATCAAAGTAAAGAAAAAAACAAATTATTAACATGTATTATTAACATATATATATATATATACATACACCTATATTTAGTATTAAATATAATTAACCAATATTATTATTAAATGTCATGAAAACACGAAAAATATAGAAAATATAAAAAAATATTGAAAATTGTGAGTAATTTTAATTTTTTAGATATTATATAATCAAAATATAAAAGAAAAAATAATAAGTAAATAATAAAATTAAAAAAAGAAATTAAAATGAAAGAAAAAGAAAACAATCAAAAAGAGAAATTTGCAGATTAAATATTTCTTGTCTCACCTCAGTTGCCACGGTTGCATAAGGGACATCGCTATAATTAAATTCCCATCCATGCTGACAAGTTTTCGTCGGCCACAATGGATTCGGCACATAGCTTTCATTTAGCAGAATCAAAGTATAATTTACATCATACATACTACATCTTGAATAACCTTCGCGGTCGAGTGGTATCGCTAGCGAGAGTCTAAAACAGAAGAGAGTGTATGGTATATAATAATGGTTCGATGTCTTTCAATACTAATGAACATTCTACAGGTGAATAATTAATGTTATATTTATAGTTAATTTAAAAGCATAGCACTTTTAAATTAATAATATTTTATCGGTTTATATATTAATGATTGACTTGTTGCATATTTATTTAGCAAAAAACAAGCTTAAATGGAATTTTATTTGCTATGAAAAAATTTATTTGGATTATATTTGGATCATTTTTAAATTAATAACATTCCGTAATTTAATTCTCAATATACATTATTTCTTAAATAATTATGACAGAGTTATTATATATCTGTAATGAAATATATTTATCGGTCAATTATTATTTTAAAGTAATTTTATTTTTACAATTTGAATAAAAAATTCATAAAATAATATAATATATCGAAGAATTATATTTTATTTTATATAAGTTTTAATTTATGTTTCTTAGAAAATTTTCTTTTCCAAAAAGTTCTTGAATTTTAGAAATTCTATAATTCTAAATTCTAAATTGTTCTCAAAATCTTATATTTCATTCTTTAATCTTATCATTGAAATAATGTTTCAAATTTTGTAAATATGCAAATTTATGGAATTAATAATTATAAATTAATAATTATAAATAAATTAATTTGAATGATCGAATATGCAAATGATATTATTGATATGATCAATTGAAAATTGAGACCACGGTAATATTTTTATGAAGATACTAATATCAATATATAACGTATAAAAATTTAAAAAAAATAATCCATGATTAAATAACTGCAAGACTAATTTGCTATCATCGCTATATTGTTGAAAATATTTACTAATAATAAAAATCTTTAAAATAATTCGCTACTGATAATTATAATTGTCTATTTTTATACATTTATAATAAAATAGAAAACATAGATGTCAACATAGATGATGACATTTAAATGAAATTCACTTTATTCATCTGTATATCATTATTAAATATCATTAAATAATATGTACATTGTATATTAAAAACGATATTTTGAAATTTTACTGGATTTTTATTATCTTATAATAGAATATTTATAATAAAATTTTTATGAAATATTTATCACAAAATAAAACGAAAAAGCAATTAAAAATTTAATTGACATATAATTATATAATAAATGAACATCTATAACTGTAATGAACAATGAAATTTCATAAATTTTTATTACATAAGGAATTAATAATTACAGCGAACAATGAAATTTCCTTTAAGGATATTACATAATCTATTATATCTATATTATCATCTTCATTTATAAGTATTAACAATTTAAATTATAAATATCAATGATTACTTTGTTAGAAAAAGAATATTAACGGTTATTGTATCATTGTAGCAAAGATTCACAGGCATTATAATTACTCAAGATTGAGATCTGAAATTTCGCTATTCTTCAACATCATAAAATTTGCGGCATTAATTCTAGTAATTTTGTTATTACATATGAGAATATAATATCATTATAATAAATAATTTTCAATATTCATTTATGAATATAAAATTACAATATTTCAATGTTTCATCGTTCCTTCTGCATGATTTACGTATAATTTATAATATAGTATATATATATATTTTTACTAGTTATTATTTATTATAATCAATATGGCACAAAATTTCTGGATATTTTCTTAATATATTTTTTGATATTTATAAAAGAAAAAACAAAATAAAGCAATATCCTATTGATATTATTATTAATTTGAAAATAAATCACTACTTCTTGAAACTTATTATTGTTACATTATTTTTATTCTTTTCTTTCATTCATATATTAAAAACAAATATAATAATATAAAAATATAAAAAGAATACTAAAAGATTTATAATGAAATCTTTGTTAATTTTTATATTTTCTTTAATGAATTATATTTCTTAAATGAATAAAAAATTTTGTATTGAATCAGTAATGTTGTCAAAAAAAAAGATATTAAAAAAAAAGTCTTGATTTATCGAATAAAACAAAAACTTTAAATATAATAATATACTAATAATACTAATAATAATAATATAATAATAATAATAATAATAATAATATATTAATAATACTTTATAATATTAAATCCTTTAATAGATATAATTACTTCAGGAAAATTATTATCTATACTAAAATTATTAAATATATAATATATGAAAGAATTTAAACGTATAATTATTATATACCATATTATTATAAAATTTTTTTCTAAGAAAAATTTCTAAGAATTTTTAATTTCCGATTAATTGCATCAATTTATAAAATTTCAATTTAATATAAATGAAACATTCGATAATACTATTATTGAAAAAAGTATCATTTATATCTAATCAAACTTCTAATCAAACTAATAAATCATAATTAATCGTATTTGAAAAAAGTGAACAAAAAATATTGTTTTTGCGAAAATATAAATATTTATGCTAAATTTTTCATGCTATATTCACTGAAAAAGCTTTGAGAATTGAGATAATAAGCGGAATAAGTAATGCATATTATCGTTCTTGTCGCTTAAAGTAGATTTGGATCGTCACTGATCAGCCAAAGAGGATTAGTCACAATCGTATTTAAAAATACGATTTTTTTCCATAATTAAATTTTTAATATCACATTGATTAAATTAAATAATAATTGTTTTAGCCATATTACATTTTATATTGCAACATAATTTCTTGCAACATGATTTTCAATTGTTATTAAATTATATTAATTGTAATAATTTGATAATTACAATATAGTAAAAAAATTCATTTTTTCAATCGTTTTTAAATTTTTTAATAATTTTAAAAAATTTTCAACTAAATATTATAAAAATATTAAGTAAAGAATAATTATCTAAGAAAATCATTGAAAAAAGTAATTAAATATCGTAAAATCTATAAACATTATTTATAATAACAAATGAAAAAAAATATAATTTCATTTATATTTTGTTCTTTTTGCAACTTAAAACTTTAAATTATTTTAGATTGATTAAAACTTTAAAAACTTTAAATTATAAGGAGATAATTATCGAAATTAAGATTTTTGATATTAATTATTTCAGAGTTCAATTTTACTATAAAATATCATTTCATTTCATTATAATATAAAATTAGAAATAAAAAAATAACATTCAAATAGTTATTCAAAGAGAAAATTTGCATTAATTTTATATTGATATTATACCTTGTAATTTAAATCTTAAACACTAAATAATTTTCATTCAAAAAATTTTTCTTTCAATTAAATAAATCATGATTATATATATGATATATATATATCTGTACCATACTAATTAATATTATTAGAAAGTTTCTAGAATTTTACGAAGAATCTGTTCTATTCCCTTTAAAAAGTAATTTTTTCGCCAATTAATTATTCCACTCGATAGAAACTAACGAATGTTTCTTTGACAAAGAAAAAGTACAAATTGCTTTTACATTAATAATTGCATTATATTTGTTACTGCATTAAACAATGTCTGTTTTAAATGAGATTAACAAAGTTGTTAGTATATACCTAATTTCCATTAAAATTTTAATTGCATCGAGGTATATTTTATTGTCATATATTTTTGCATAATTATATACACAGGGTAAATGCCTTTTGCATAAAACTATGTTTGTCGTTTTTCATCGCAACCAACGATATCTAATTATGTTTTTTCTCGTTTTTCATCACAATCAACGTATCAAACCAAATGTTACGTGCTCAACGCCATTTTTTTATGTTCACGCTCTCATTGTTTGCGTGAAGGTTCAAGTATGTTTACGCCTCGAACACGATAATATCGACTCGAGGAATTTTATCCAGAAAGCATTGTGCGAATATATTGCAACACATTCTTTGACTCTTGAAACAACGGATTATGGTGCAATCGAAACATTTATAGTAGGCGTGGATTAATAAGGTTAATTTACAAATTGCTACATATAAATATTGTTTTTACGGATTATTGTTTGCCAAGTGCAATTTCTATGTAGGTGATCATATATCTAATTTATTATTAAGATTTCGTTTATTGTTAAAGATTAAAATAATTTTAAAATTATAATAATGTGATACTGAAAATGGAAAATCATTTTTACGAAGATTTTGTTATTTTCATTGAAATTGCTAAATGTAATTTTTATGATGAATTTATTTTTTATAAATTTTTATATTTATGTAAAATATATATCTATAAAAAATATTACAATTATAACAATATAAAAAAAAATGGAAGATACCATTTCTATATATTTATTTAAAATATTAAATATCCAGAAATGTTCATGTTGATATTTTTTTAATTTTTTAATTAGAATTCTTTAATTAAAAACTTTTTTAGATGTTATCTAATAGATTATAGTAAAAATAAAATATGAAATTCTATGATATCAAAATTTTAAATATATTTGTATTTATAAATGTATTTTAATTTTAAATATAATATTATTTAAACTATTTCATATTTAATTAAAATAATATCCATATATTTAGAATTATAATATAATATCATGAAAATAGAGAATGCTATTTTTATAAATTTTTTTCAAAAACTATATTAAAATTAAAATACATAAAATATTTTCTCAAATAAAAACTTTATATAGTTTATATAACTATATAACTATAAAACATTATATATTTAATTAAAATATTTAACTCTTATCTTTAAGTATATATAACATTTTCTCTCTAAATATATATAACATAATTATAGAAACATCGCCAAAATATCAATCATTAATAAATATTGTTATAAATTGTTTACAAATTCTATATAATTTTCCATTTTAAGAATTTTTAAGAATAATTTTTTCTACTGAAAAGCTTTCTTAATAAAACTTTCTTCAAAACATGTTTGAATTAAATCAAACGTTAAGAAATTGAAATAATATCTATCCAAAAACCACTCCTATTTTAATTCTACATTCTACATTCTACATATTCTACATTCATTATCCATTTCATAGAATGTTAAATATTCAATATTTAATATCTCTATACTGTTATGAATTGTTTATTAAATCCTGAATAATTTTCCATTTTAATATCTATTTTACCATGAAGCATTTTTAGTAGCAACTTTTATGTAGATCGAAAAATCTTTAGCTCAGCTGACGCATTAACGAGAAAGTTGCAATAGAATATCAATAAAGTTTCTAAAGTTTTCTAATAAATTAAAACAATTAAAACAAAAATTAAAACAGGAATCAGAAACCAATTTCACTATAATTTCACTATTTATCAGTTCATAATTGGAATAAAGCAATAATTCCTATTATGCAAGTATTTCAAAAGAAAAAAAACAGATGTAAGTCTTATAATGTGCATACGTTTATTTGTAGAAACACGTTTTATGAAGACTTTTACGATCTGTTACCGGCTGTTCCAGCATTATTCGAATAACATCGAAGGTTGTTAACCTATCGCAATAATTGTAAGCATACGAAAGTTCAATGTTATAGCTTGAAAAAACATTTTGTCATAACGCATTGCTAAAAGAAACGTTGATACTTTTGTTTAAGTTTTTGTGATATTTTATCTCGACGATTGTATATGTATTGTATATTCATACTTGCCAGACATAGTATAAATGTTTTTAACAGAATTAATGCCATTGAAATCAGACAACAATTGGAACACCATTGTGAATAACGATAAAAGAATTTTTTGGTTGAATATTTTTTGTAAATAATTTATTATATAAAATTAATTTTAAAAATTTTTATATAATCATTGAAAATTAAAGATTTATGTTATAAAAATTGAATTAAAAAATTAATAAATTATATATATATATATATTTAGTATTATAAGTAGTCATTACTTTTTATAAATAAGTAATTTTCAGTTTTTAGAAATTAACAAGATTATTTTATATATTTTATAGTAATATGTAAATATTAAAAGTTTTAATTTAAGAAAATTAACTTTCATCTAATAACCGTGTTTTGAGATTAAAAAAAAAATGAAAACGATGTTAAATCATTAAAATATTATTTTTAAACGTGCCTTGATCAATAACTAAATAATATGTGCAAAAGCCACATTTATTCAGATTGTCAATATGTGTCTGAAATCTATCTTGAATCACAAAACAGATATTAAATGTTAATAATCATTCGTCACTAGAATTTTTTATTATCAATACGATCAAAATTAATATAATCATAAATATTTATAAACGCAATCCGATCAGAATTTTCATCAGATTGAACTACATTGAATCAACAACGATTTCTATTTTTGATTCTCACTTTATTATATTTATTTTTCATTTACTACTTTTTTTATCAAATATATATAATAAATAATAAATAAAAAGATAAATAATACAAAAAAATTGATTTCAATATTCTATAATATAAAGATACATTTAAATATCTCAAGTAAAAAAAATTGTTTATATTAAGAAAAATTAGATTTAAAGAAAAAAAAAAGAAAAAATTTGAATAATGAATTTTAATGAATTTTATATATTAGATATATGAATATTTTAATCTTTAGAGAAAGAAACTATAATTTCTGTGATTCAGGTTTTCATAATTTTCCAAAAAAATTTTTTAAATTTCTTACAAATGCATATACATATATTAAAGTGCATATAAATATATATATATATATAAATCTATGATATTATTTTTGTCGGTCTTCTAAAAATTAATAATATAAGAATAAATCAATATTTTTCATGTTGCGAAGAATTTAAACAATAAAATATTCTATCTTTTAATTATAATAATAGTGCTAATAATATATATCATTGATTCTATTATATATATAATAGGATTCTATTATATAAATTCTATTATATAATAGATATTATATAATATATTATATATGTTTATTATATTTTATATATTTTTTTTTATAACAATTATAATATTTATTAAGTATTTTTATTTGATGTAATCATATATTTAAAACAATATTAGAATTACAGAAATGAAAATGAAAAATTTATTGAACAAATCAATTGAATAAAATTCAAGTGATTATTGAAAATTATTGAAAAAATTTTATATATATAAATTCCAATTTAGTTTCTAACTGGATTGCAATCTAATAATAAAAAAGTCACTTTCATCATTATTTTTAAATAAAATTATTTTTATGGAAAATTTTATTAAATTTTATTAAATTTTCAATATAATTATTTTAATATTATATTTATTTTTTATTTTAAATATTTTTTATATTATGCTTATATTATAATATTCTATTATATGTTCGCTAACTATAATATAGATTTTTTCATAAATGTCAGGATTTGACAAATGAATTAATTATTATAAAATGATTAAGAAATATAATAAAAGATTTTGTTTAATTTATCTCTTGATTCATTAAATAAAATCTTAATATTAAGAAAAATCTTTTTAATCTCATGTGTGTATAAATACTAAGATATTTCAATAAATAAATCAAAATCTTTTATACATATTTTATGAGATTGTTTATTTATTCAGTGAAGATATTATTAGAACAGACACAACAGAACGAAAGATTTATCTTTCTTCTTAATCATATTATCAATCCTAATTTTTATCTCTCATGATAAAAAATCATCGAAATCATTGAATAAATAATTATGACTTCAAATAAAGATTATGATTTAAATAATTCTATTATTAAATAAATTCTTTGTAAAGTTTCTTTTTTTTAAAAAGTTTTTTTCCATGAATTTTAGAAAAATTTTTTTATCATATTCTTGTGTTAAAAATCACATTTCTTACTTTAAACAATTCTATTTATCTTAAATCTTATCAATAAATATAAAAAATTGAATAAAATCTACTACTTCGATTTCAGATTTTACATTCAAATTATATTACAATTTTACATTCAAAATTAATTTCATCATCAATGAAAATATTTCTCTTTTTAAAATATTTAAACTTCTATCTTATTATATAAAAAATTAATGTATTTTACTTATTTACCTTTCATTGGATGTGAGATTCTTTAGTTCCGGTATCCAGCACCAATATTTTTCTGGTATTAACGTGATAAAGATTTGTGAGAAATAAACCCATGCCACAAATGAAGTAAAAGGAATCATCAATATAAATAAGATCTTCTGATAAAGTCCAAATTCTCCGACATAGGGTAACAACTCATCAAAATCTAAATCCTTCGTTTCTTCTTTGATCTCATTTGCTTCCGGTATTTGAATATCCATCGAGTTTTGATAATTCAAATTATTATTCCGACTATTGTTCAAATGCACAGATGTTTCAAACTTTTCTTGAGGAGGCATCTTTTCAAAAATAAACTCTTCAAAAAAATAATCAATTATTGTTACAAGAATTCGATCACCTTCCTCTCATCAAACTTACAGATTAACCCGTTGTCTCATGGTTTACATAAAAAAATCGTAAATTGATCTTTCTATATTCCCAAATGCATCGTATTGCTTTTATATTCACATCAAAATTCCTCTCTAAATTTATTAAAAAGCCTGTTTGAACTGCGATTTTCACAGACACAAATCGATCACATGGATCACTATATTTATCGTTGACATCGCATGAATCCGTAATAATATTTCAGGAATAAAAATAAGATTAGATTAATCTTAAAGAATCAATAATGTGGAAAAAAAAAATGGACAAATCCTGATCGAAGAGTTAAGAACTGAAACGATCAGTCCTGTAACTGGCTATATAACCATCGATCGAGAGGTACTCCCTCTCTTTTCTATGTACAAGTTGAATTCAATGTTCTGCAAGTGGTATTAAAGAGAGTGTGGATCGCGTCAATCATATACCGCGTCATTGGTAACCAACTATTTCTTTTGCATTTTCCCCGATTGCAAATTAAGGCAAGACAATTATCTTTTCTCGTTTCAACGTGTTCATTTATTTAATTAGTCACATAAATATATGACCAATATATAAGTACAATTTTATATCAGTAATTTTTTAGAAAATTATATAAAAAAAAAAAACAATTCGAAATTTATTTTCGACAAATATATTTAATATTTTATTGTAAAATGATTATATAATGATTTTAAAATAAAAAAGAATGTAAAAGTAGATAATAATTAAAATCTAAATTAATATATTAAATAAAAATTTTAAAAATATGTTGGTATTTTTTATAAAATTTTATGAATTAATCATTTAATTATAATTATTATTTTAAAAAATTTATACCATTATACCATTTAGATTATAAATAAGTCTACTATTTTTTTTTTTAATTATCAAATAATATAAAAATCACAAACTGAAAACAGAAATCTACTTGCTATGTTTTTTTGTATAATCTTTGAATATATATATTTAAATATGAAAAAATTTAAGAAATCAAAGAATAAAAACTTTATTCAATTATTTAATCCTATATAGAATATAATGATAAAAAAACAATCAACTTATTATGATAAATCGTTATAAATTTATATTTATTATTATAAATTTATTATTAAAAATATCTCAAATAAAAGATTCCATCTTCTGTATCTTTAAATCGTTTTTTTGTTGCACAATTTTCACATTATCTTTTGTTAATAGTTTATTTTCAGCAAAAGTAAACAATTGATTGACTTATTTAATTCATATGATTATGCTGAAAATTTTTTCCAAGTATGATCTTGCGCGTTAGCAATAATTTCTTTTTTTTTTCGCATTACATTTTATTATCTGTTTTCTATTTATAAATTATAAAAATGAAAATAGGTTGTATGAACATAATATCAATATACCTTTATCATTTTTATCTATAATCAACATTATCTATTGGAAACTGGAAAATTGGTGAAGATTTATTTGATAACCTAAAAGATAAAGGAAATTTCTCGAAAAACAATAGTGAATAAAAAATTTCTAATAAAAATATGTGTAAAATAGTAAAGATATTGCACACTTATTTAAAATATAAATATTATAGTCTTTTATCAATATATTTATCAATATATTCGACTGAAACTTATTCATACATATAAAAAAATATATTTTGATATGATTCATTATTATATTATATGCATACAAAAATATTAATAAACAACAAATTATCTGGAAGTAAATATATTTTAGATTAAAGATTAACAGACATTTACAATACTTTTCGATTACAGAATCATAAATATACAAGCATAATAAAAGCTATATTACCATTATGACAGCATCCGATTTTAAAGATAAATTTTTATTTTTTTTTTTTTGCCGCCATAGTGATAACATTCAAATGCAAAAGGATAATAATTATTATTACTGCGCACTAGACATAATAAGAATAATTTATTGAATATTATACAGGTTGTTAATTTAATCAATTAAAATTGAATTATCTTTTTTCAATAAATATTAAAAAATTATGCAGAAATAAAATCGTCTAAAATAAGAAGTTTTTCTATCTAAGATCATTTTTTATCGATAATTTATTTTAAATGGAAATAGATTAGAACAATATATTGTTATGAAAAATAAATAATTTTTAATAATGAATTATTATAGTTTAGTTTTATTAAAAAATTCTTTTAATATAAAAACTTATGAAAAGTATACATAGCCTCAAGAAATCATTCAAATATGAAATCTTTAACTCTTTTCACAAATCATTAGAATATATTTAGTGTATAAAATTTATATCAATATAGCACCCATTGGAAAATTACTATAACATAGGAATATATTTTTTCATAATTATTCATTATATTGACTGTTATCAATAATTAAAATTTCTTTTTTTCTTTATGTGTATATGACACATATTAAAAAAGTAGAATAAAAAACACGAAGACTTGTATCACTTCATATGTTTCATATAATCTAACAATTTGTTATTATCCGAAATATTACATACAAGATAAATTATCGGACAAAATACATGTTTTATTAATATAATAACGCATAATAAACAAATCTAATATTTTTATGTACACTATTATTAATATCCATGATTCATGGATGCAAAGATAATAAATCAAGACAAACCTCTCCTATAACTTCAGGAACTTAGTTCTATTCCATTATCAATATTTTGATTATTCACAGTAAAATTTTTTACATCAACATTCATAGCAGTGTCAGAAAAAGGTTTACTCATGAATAGGATCTTTTAAAATATTTATATGCGAATATTATCTGATTATACTTAAAAACAAAAACAAATAATTAAAATCGACCTTAAACTACGCAGTGCTTTCAAGCTCCTTGTGTAGAAAAGTTTCGATATCCACTCGACATATAGGACAGCGTTTATTAGTACATAACCACTGATCGACACAGTCTATATGAAATAAATGCATGCATGGAAGCCTCCTATGTAAAAACATTAAAAGAATATTATATATAAAATAAAAAAATAGTTACTAAAGAAAATTATTATATATATAAAAAATAATTATACCTGACACTTTCACAGTCTTCAAATTCAGATAAACATATAGTACATTTTTCAATAGAATCTTCATTTTCAATTTTTTTCTCCTATTAAATAATAAAATATTAAAAATTTTAATTATTAAGTAAAAATAGCAATACACATATTGTAACGAATTTATACAAAAATAAAATACATTACCCGTTTGTATTTATAACGGAATGTGTGATTTTCAATTGATTCTTGTGTTGCTCCACAATTAATATGAGCCATATGTCGTAAATTAACAAGACGCATATAATTTTCAAGTTGCGCCGACATTGGACGTGCTGGATGTAGCAAACCAAAAGATGAAAATGGCATTGTATCATGAGCATCAGATCCTTGCTGCGTGAAATATATATATATATATATACATATATACATATATATATGTATGTATATATGTATACAAATACAGAAAATTATTCATTATTATCAATATTATATATAAAAACATACCAAATGAAGATGTTGCAACCAATTAATATGAATATGGTGTCTATGTTGTGGACCAGGTGGTCTTCGATGAGGACCATAATGATGATACATATGAGGTACATAAGGATGAACTGGCATTGAAGGCAGCATAACTGGTGGTGTTGGTTCCATTTCTACACCATTCAAAGAATTTTCCTAAACATATAAAATAATGTAAATCAATGCTATAAAAATTAAATTCTTGAAAAAACAATAAAAAATAAAAAAATTATAAATTCATTATAATATTTATTATAATATAATTTCTTTGATTGAAATTACCATCACAGATTGTGCTGGACACGATGGGCTAACATTTGGTGGCCTCCTAGCTTCTGGATGACTATAAACAGTAGGTTGTTGTGGTGGTGGTAAAATTGGAGGAGGAAAATAATTTTCTGCAAATGTCATATTTTCCGAACCATTGCAACGATTATTTGCAGGATTAGGATTTCCATTATTACACGTATGTTGATTTGCTTGATGAACATGTGGATTGCATGATGTAGTACTACTAAATATAAAAATTATATATAATATAAAATTTCAAGTATTTATCCTGATACTAACCTATGATGTGTTGAGAATCTTGGATGAAGACTCCGCCTATGTACTTCTTGTACACGTTGTTGCATCCTCCATAATCTCTCTTGCACAGGATGCATACGTGGTCTTAACATTCCTGTAGAAGCATCTGTAAAAAAAAAATAAAAATCAGAATAATATCATTACAGAATATTATTAATTTTTTTAAATTTTTAATATAATATAATATTAATATAATATTTTTATCTTATAAATATTCTTACCTGGTAGTTGACTGTATCTTACAGGTATAACAGGAATTGGAATTCTATAATTATGATGCATACATCGGCCATGATACACATAGTCTGGTGGACTATGCATGCAATAAGTATTGTTCCCACTATAAAACAATTATTAAAAATCTATAATCAAACATATTATATATTAAATAATTTGTCATACCTATGTACATAATCCGTTGTTCCTGGACTTACAACCGAAGTTGTTGGGGTTGGTGGAGCATGTTCTTCATCTGATTCTACAGTCAAATCAACTACAGTTACTGGACGATTACTTTCTTCATTATTTTGCACAGAATTCTGCTGTTGAAATATATTAAAACATTTTGTATTTTAAGCTCTTAATATATAAATCTCATTGTGAAATAATTTAATAAAACTATTTCACCTTATTATTATTATGATTTACTGAAACAAGAACTTCAACCGAACCATCTTCATCATCACTACTAGTAGCATCATCACTACTTGAGGACCAATCTAATTGTAAATCAGGCGCTGATGGTGTATCATCATTTTCTATTCAATATAGATAAAATTAAAGTATACATATTTAATTAATCTTAATTATTATTAATAAAAAAATCATACTTGTTGAATGTGTAGAATGTTGTTGAGAATTAATTGTATTTGGCAAAACTGAATGATACAAAGTATTAACTTCATTGGCACTATCATTCTCCATATTCTGCATGACTCTGTTTAAAAAAATTTTATTATTAATTATTGATATAATTCAAATAAAAATAAAAATTGTATAAATTTAAAATTTTTAATTTTATACTTGTTAGAAATTCCATCTGACAATCTAGATGGTCCAGCTACATCCAAATTATCAGATGATTGATAATCCAATGATCGTTCTTCACTTCTTTTACTTTTATGTTTTACTGGAGGATCACGTTCGTGTAAAATTCCTGTTGTTTCAGGCCCATGTAAGTATGTTCCAAATACAAAATTATTGTTTGAAGCAGAATGATGAGAAGGATTTACATAAGGATTAATAGGTACCACATCTAAATCTTCTACATCACTTTCTGCAAATAAGTGATCATATTCCATGTCATTGGCTAAAATAAAGAAAATTATTAAAATTATTGAAAAGATTTTTTATATAAATTTTCTTTTTATTAAAAATATATTTTAATATTTTGTTAAAAAAAATTATTGTTATATTTAAAAAAATATAAATTAAAAAATTATTTGAAAAAAATTAATACATATATTATGTTTTATATTATATTTTACCTGAATTAAATCTTGGTTGTGGAGAAGGATCAACTGTAGATGAAAATGCTGTATCAAATATATCTGCTAAAGAAGTGGAATTTGCTTCCATAGACTGAGTTATGGATTCTGGATGATATAAATTATTTTGTTCATCTGCTTTAGTTTTGCACCAAACATTTTCAGAACTTGTGCTCTCTTCCATCCTATTTGATGAATTTGATTATTTATATTCAAATAAAGATTTATTATATTTAAATATAAATAAAAAAATTAAAAAATTATAAAATTAAAATTTGTTTATTATTATAATTATACAAATATTATAAAGTGTATTCTTTTTTGCTATGTGATTTTGTATTATATTATAGAAATATTATAGAAATATATTATAGAAATATATAATTATATTATAGAAATATATAATATCGAAAAAAAAATATAATTTTAATCAAAAATAAAAACTTTAATATTCATTTAAAAAATAATAATAAAATCAATTAAAATATTAGATAATTAAAAAATATATATATTCTAATAAAAATTATATATATATTTTCATTATTTTTTAATAACAATGTTTTCTTTTAATTTCATGAAGAAGTATATTAAATATGCTAATTTTCAATAAAATAATGTAAATATATAAATATATATAAATATATAAATATATATATATAATATATATAATAAAAATATTTTTATATTATGAATAATATAATTAAATTTTTATATTTAAAAAATAATTTTTTAAATTATGTTCGAAATTATATTTGAACTTTTCACGTTTAAATAAAATTGTATTATTCGTTTCATGAAAATAATTGAAATAATATCTTAACGAAGAATGTAATACAAATTATAAAAGAGAGTATACCTTGCAATTCCTTCGATGGTTTTGTAAAACGATAAGGCTCTCTTTACCACATCATTTTTATCAAGATATTTATTTTTTATATACCACTGTCATTTATGTCGTTGTATCTATGCACGTCAATATTAACTTTGTAATTAGATCACTTCGAATTTTAATAAACTATTTGATCCATATGAAAATTTGTGTATAATTAAATTCTTATGTCAGTAATAACAATAAAATCGAAAAAGGATTTATATAGACTTTCTTTCGGTAATCTACATTTGGCAACTATGATACCATCAATCGTAACTTTCATTAACTACATTCGATTTTTGGTGACCTCTGTTGATTATGCAGCATGCTACCTTTCCTTATAAAATTATCACATTCTTTACCAATTATTATAACATAAATTTAAAATTTATATAAATAATACTAATTTTTTAAATGAATATAATATTTATTATATAATATATTCGTTTTCCTATCGCACCATTTTAATTTTCATGCTATATACTTTTATTCAATATGGATATATTAAGTGATTCTAGTGTATTTCAAAGATATAAATAGGGATAAAGTTAACTTTCCTATATTTTTACTAATAAACGAGGAACTTGAGAAACTAGAGAAATTTTATGTAAATATTTTTAAAACTAAATTCTTAATTTAAAATTCTAATTTTAAAATTATAAATTTAATACTCTATAATACTAACAATAATTTTCATATTATAAGAATTGTTTCGATATATTTAAAAACTTATAAAATTATTATTTATAATAACATTTTTGCATTGAAAAAAAATTATTCTGCATGATGAACCAATCATTTCAATGAACTATTCCTGTACTTGACAAGTAACAAATCTGGAGTATTAGATACATTCGAGATATACTTCATATATTTTCTTTCGAACTTGACCTCGCTAGTTCACCGAAGATAGTTCTCTTAATGGTGATTCTCTAATAATTCAATTTCGTTTATTGACCTCCTAAAGGAAACATCAATTAAAAAATGGCTGTAGCTGTTAGAACATTATCAAAATTTACAGGTAAGATAAGAATAATTATCTGTTATTTTTTAATGATAATAGACCTTTATATATTTCGAAATAATTGAAACATGTTTGTAAAATATAAAAATTCACAGTTTTTTGTGTCATTATTCTGTTATTTTTGATATTAATATTTGATAATTTTTTTTTATGTTAAAATTTTCATTATATAAGAATGTATATAGTCATTCATAATTTAATTTTTTTGACACTACATATATATTTTTAATTTATTCCTTAATTTAATTTCTACATTATTTTTTTTTAAGTATTAATAAAGTATTACATAATTCTATATTAAATTTTTATCTGATTCATGTATATGTAATATAATAATATAATATATTCTTTTTTCTAAAATTATATTTTATATAAACAATATTATTTTGTGATATATCTATTGATTGTGATATTATATATAACTATAATTAAATATAATTTATATATTATGTTAATTAATGTTATTACAATATGTCACTTTAAATGTCATATTAATCATTGAAGTCATTGGAAGATATTTAGTTAATGAACCTTGACCTAAAAGTTAAGAAATTTGATATTGTTTCTATAAATAATATTCAATTAAAACAATGCTTAAAATTTTCTATCTCTATCCCATAAAATAACATATGTTTTACTGTTCTTATATTTATATTACAGAATATTATTAAAGAATATATTTTTTATTATAAAACAAAAATTATTAATATTTTTCTTTAATCTTTTTTTAGGAAAACATTTTTTTTAAATAAATCATTTTTTTATTTTTTCAGTTAGAAAATGTGGTAATTTATTACGTACTCAAATAAGATTTAACTATGTAGATACTAGAAAAAACTTGAAAATTGATTCCAATACCAAAGTTATATGTCAAGGTTTCACTGGTAAACAGGGGACATTTCATTGTCAACAAGCCATTGAATATGGTACTAAAATAGTAGGTGGTGTTAATCCCAAAAAAGCTGGTACACAACATCTTGGAAAACCAGTTTATAAAAATGTAAAAGAGGTGAGCAAATAATTATTTAATTTTATATTTTATATTTAAAATTAAAAAATTATCAAATTTATTTTTATTTTAGGCAAAAGAAGCCACGGGTGCTACTGCATCTGTCATTTATGTTCCTCCTCCAAGTGCAGCTGCAGCTATTATGGAGGCAATAGATGCTGAAATGCCATTAATTGTATGTATTACTGAAGGTATTCCACAACATGATATGGTCAAAGTTAAAAGACGACTTTTGGAGCAAAATAAATCTCGTTTAGTTGGTCCAAATTGTCCAGGAATAATAGCTCCAGAACAGGTATTTAATATTTATTAATATTTAAAAAATTATAAAAAGAGAAATTTTAGAATCAAGGCATATTATATATATTCTTATATTTTATAACAAATTATATCTCAGTGCAAAATAGGTATTATGCCAGGGCATATACATCAAAAAGGAAAAATTGGTATTGTATCAAGATCAGGAACATTAACATATGAAGCTGTAAATCAAACAACACTTGTAAGTAAATTTTTTTTCTTAGAATTTTATATTTTCCTCTTAAATAAAATTAAAAATTATATTTTTGAAAAAGGTTTTTATAATAAAAAATTATAAAAAAATTTTATTTTAAGGCTGGTCTTGGACAAACACTTTGTATTGGAATTGGTGGTGATCCATTTCATGGAACAAATTTTATTGATTGCTTGGATGTATTCCTCAGGGATCCAGAATGTGATGGTATTATAATGATTGGTGAAATTGGTGGTAGTGCAGAGGAATCAGCAGCGGAATATCTCATTGAACATAATACTGTTGGTTGTTCTTCTAAATTGGTACCCAACATCCTGTCCTAATTCATAACTATTTTTTCCAGAAATTCCAATGTTCCTTATATTCCACAAGACATTCTCTATCCTTATAAGTATAATTAATTTGAATATTATTACTTATAAATATAATATATATATCTATTGTAATTGTAGGGAAATAAAACAAAACCAGTAGTATCATTTATTGCCGGTATCACTGCTCCACCTGGCCGAAGAATGGGACATGCTGGAGCAATTATTTCAGGAGGAAAAGGAGGTGCACAAGACAAGATTAATGCACTTGAAAAAGTATTAATTTACTATTAATTTATTATCTATCATAATTAAATTTTATCTATATATGTGTTATAATAAATATAAATGTTATTTTATTTTATTTAGGCTGGTGTAATAGTTTCAAGGAGTCCTGCACAAATGGGAAATGAACTTTTAAAAGAAATGACACGCCTTGGTTTAATCTGTAATTAAGAACATATGCCATCTATAAATACACATTTGTAGTTTGCCTCATATGGATGTATCTTCGTACAATAAATTGAAAGTATAAACTATGCTAGGATCGTCTAAAAAAACAAAACAATATAATGCATTAAAAATGTGCAACTTTATTAAATTGATAATGCAGTGATTATATTCATTGATGTGCAAACTAACTTGTTTACTTTACTCCTAAAAAAAAGTCATGCAAAAAAATATGAACATTTATTGAAAAATTAAATTTATTTTACTACTGTACAGTATTTAGAAAATATTTTTAATGCTATAGCTTTTATTTTAACAATTAGCAACCATCCAAAGATCATATAAAAGATACCTAACAATAACTGCCACTATTCTTCGTTACCATTTTTCTTAACCAGAAATTATAAATTTTTCTATGCTATTACACTATAATTTTAAGAAACAGTTATTTAAGCAATTCTTACTATATTGTTGTAAATTATATTAAAAGTATATCTGTTATAACTATAAAACTGTTATATATCTATATTGTAAAACATTAAAATCTTAAATATATTGAATGAAATCAATTAGTTCTTTAATAATTTTTTAAATTTTATTTATTATAAATAAAAGATAACATTAATTTTTTAAATATTTTTTTAGAATGAAAATCCCATTATTTTATCTATAAGTTTAGCAATATGTTTACTTTTATAATTAACAAATGGTTTTAATTCAGCAAAATTCATAATTTGTATAGTATCTAATAAAGTTTCACAAGTACAATAATATAAATGCTTATTCTTGTAGAGTTCTTCAGCTAACTCTAATTGATGATTGTCCATCAAACTTTGATTTGCAACTACAATTAAATTTTTTTTACTTTCTGAAGCATCTAAGATACTTCCTGCTCCTGCATGACTTATAATTAAATCAGTATTTTCTATGTATTTAGTTATATTTGCATTTAAATTGAAATATTCAATATTAATAAAACCACAACGGGGAATACAGTTTGGTATAAATAATGTTTTACCAATTTGTAAAATAATTTCATTATATCCTTTTGATGATAAGATCTAAAATAATAAATTTTGTAATTTATTATTAATTTAATATCTTAATATATTAATTTTATAATATATATTTAAAACATCTCTTTAAAATAATGTTTAAATATTTTTAAAGAGATAATAATAATAAGATTTTTTAAAAACTTGTATTTTTTTACCTCTAAAACTTCTGAACTAAGAACTGTCTTAATTAATTCATCAAATTTCGTAGTGCCAACAGTAACAAATATTTTTTTCTTTATTAATGTCATTTTAAATATTTAGAAATACTAAAACTTAACACATTAATTAAAATAAATTATTAAACATATTATTAACATATTATTTCATATTATTGTTTATAAAACTACATAAAGAACATATTGAAATTTAACAAAAATATTTTGTCAAAGTTTATTCGATCCATATAAAGTTATCAAATATAAAATATAACTACTAACATCGAGAATATATAATAGTCAATATAATAGTCGTGATATCTTCTTATTTTCGTCAATTTAAGAAAATGAGAAAAATGAATAGAGAAATAACGATACTAAGCTGTTATTATCGCATTGTCGTTATTGCATTATATATACATTATTCCCCCACTTATTAGAGCGTTTTTTATAGTTCTCCCACACTCTATTCTCAAACATTATGAGCAGCCATTTTGTTTAAATATTTAAATAATAGTTCTTAGCAACATTAATATCATCATATAATTCCAATACATTATTTTATTTATTTTGTTTACTGCAAATTTGATAAAGTATGCCAGCTAAAATAAAAAATAATGTTTTAATATATGAAGGTTGTAATTATTTACGATATCGTTTATTATTATCAACATTATCAGGTAAACCTGTACGAATTATAAATATTCGAATTAAAGATGACAATCCAGGACTTAAAGGTTAGTTTAAACATATCTTTCAAAAAATATCCAAAAACTAAAATAAATTTGTTTATTAATATTAATATTTATATGTAATTTATATATGCACATGTTTATATTTTAGAGTATGAAGTCAATTTTATTCGTTTATTGGATAAAATTACAAACGGATCAAGAATAGAATTAAATGAAACAGGAACTAATTTGTACTATAATCCTGGATTATTGTATGGTGGTGAATTTGAGCATGATTGTAATATACAACGAGGTATTGGTTATTATTTAGAAGGAATTATGATATTAGCTCCATTTTGTAAAAATACTGTAAATGTAAAACTTAAAGGAATTACAAATAATACAATAGGTAAATAATATTTTTTGAACTTTTAATTTCAGAATATTAACATTGTATTAATATAATTGTATGATTTAATTTTTAAGATCCATCTGTAGATAGAATTAAAGCATCTGCTATACCTATATTAAAAAAATTTATATCAAGTGATAATGAAATTATCTTTACTATTAATAAAAGAGGAGCTGCACCTTTAGGTGGTGGAGAAATTAAATTTAAATGTCCTATTAGTCGTAATCTTAAAAGTATTCAAGTTAGTAATTATAAATATAAATTACATTTCTTCATTAGAATATTAATTTAAAAACAATAAAAATACATTTATAGCTTCAAAATAGTGGAATGGTAAAAAGAATAAGAGGTACTGCATGTAGTATACGTGTGTCTCCTGCTATTGGTAATAGAATTGTCGAGTCTGTTAAATGTGTATTATTAAAATTTTTACCAGATGTCTATATTTATACAGATCATTGTAAAGGTGCTTCAAGTGGAAAATCACCAGGTATACATATAAAATTTTTTCTAATTTATATTTTTTAAATTAAATATTTCAAATGTTTATAAATATAATAGGTTTTGGAGTGAGTTTATCAGCTGAAACAACTTCTGAAGTTGTTTTTGGCGGAGAAGCATTTTCACCTCTAATGTCAACAGGTTCTTTGCCATGTGTACCAGAAGATATTGGTAAAGAAGCAGCTATGAAATTAATTGATGAAATTTATAGGTAAAGAAAATAACTAATAAAATAACATTTTTATGTTATATATATTTTTATATTAAAAAATATATAAATTAATTAATTAATTAAAGAAGCTATTACATAAATTTAATAATTGTAGAAATGGTTGTGTAGATTCACCTTTTCAAGCTATGACTGCAATGTTTATGGCATTGGGTAAGAAAGATGTTTCTAAAATTGTAACAGGTCCTTTAACACCATCAATGTAAGTAGTTATTTTATAAACGAATTTATTTTAAAAAGAAAACTTATATTATAAAGCTGATGCATAATATTATTCCCACAGGATACAATTTTTAAGGGATTTAAAAGACTTTTTTGGAGTCATCTTTAAAATTGAACCATTTAAAGAAGATGATGAAATATTAGAACAAGTTGTTTTAACTTGCATAGGTGTAGGATATACTAATATAAGTAAACGTACTTTGTAAAATATTGTACTTATTTTTTTGTTATATATCAATTTTATAATTGAAATTTATAAATCATATAAATATATATATATATATTTGTGTATAAATTTTATATAATATTTTTATATAATTTTATTAATTTTACATTAAATTATATGTTAATTTTTTTATTTATACAAAATTTAAAATATTTTATAATACAAATGTTTGTAACTGAATTGGTTTAGAAGGCCAATCATGAAAAAATTCTGATTTTAATGTATTCCATAAACTTTGATAATTTTTAGACCATTTTTTACAATCTAAATAAGTAATTTTTTTAGGATGTCTTATATTACAATCAGAATGTTGATATTTATCACAAGTTCGTAAAAAAGTTTCAAAAAGTGCGCGTCTGCTTATGAGTAAATTGCTACCCTTTTTTTTTTTCGTAGCTCCTTGTTTTCTACCTTCAACTGCTATTTCAGTATCACTAAAAATAAAAAATTATTAAAACTATTTTAATATTAATGTTAATTTAAAAAGTAAAAAGAGATAAATAAGATGCTATATTATATATTTATAAGACACTTATAGATCTATAAAATCTATTCTAAAGACTAAAATAAAAAAGTTAATATACAAAGTGTCAATAGCTAAGATTTAAATTATTTTTTTTTATTATTTATTTATATATTATTTATTTTATAAGCAATTTAAGTTTGAATTAGATAAAATATTTTGTTATGAAACTTAAATTGCTTATAATTTAATAGTAAGCCTCGACTGATATTTTTATTATATCAATTAAAAAAATATTTTTGTATTTATTTTGCTCTCTAGAATCTATTATTCAACAAAAATATTACAAATATATTAACATCCTATATAAATACTAAAAATTACCGATTTCTTACAGCACACCATATTATACTAGATGGACATGGATTTTTTCTTTCAGAATTCTTTTGCTGTTTAAAAAAAAGTTTACTTTGTATAATTTTTAATTTGTATATTTCTGAATTGAATCGTTTATACAATCCACGTTCCATTGCTTCCAGAGAAAAAGGGGAATTACCTCCCACTACAATAGTTTCCAATTTTATTGGAGGTATCAGTATTGATAAAAATGACCCTTGTATTCCAAGTAAATTCCATCTAAAATCAATATATAAAAAATTATTATATTTCTATATTATTCCAAATTTATTATTTCAAAATTATCATATATTATACATTCAAAATAAATTATAATTTTATATAATTTTATTTACTTTGCTATTTTGTCTGAACAAGACAAACTAAGAGTAGGATTTCCTCGTCCCGGTTTAGTTCGTAATGGTCCAACTACATGGTAATTTACTCCAGGTAAATGAAGATCTTGATATTTTTCAGATTTAACACATTTTGCACCTGTTCTATATATATCTTTAATTATTTGTTTTTTTTTTTCATTGATATTAGATTTTATTTCTATTTCGATATTATGATTATATTTCTTAATTTTTATTGGAGGTGCATTATCTTCTTCTTTTAAAAATATAGAGCAATCTCCACAAGGAGTTTGACTTGTAAAAAAATGAAATGATATGCCATCATTTATCTTAATCTTTTTTTTATCGTCTATTATAAAGACATTATTTTTAACACCACTAAGTAAAAAATCAATTTGTTCATATAAATATCTTAAAAAGGCACGTCTAACAAGAATTTCTGCATGTGAATCATTTAATCTACATCCTTCTTCATATAATTTTGTATTCATTAAATCTATTTTTCCTAAGCATTTTGTTCCTGTAGCAAGAGCTACTAGGGAAAGTGTACCATCCTTTTTTAATAATACTATACCTGATAATACAGTCCATTCTTTTTGTGATGGTTTACCATTCTTACCAAGTTTATTGTATTTTTCTAAACAAAGTTGTGCAACCTTATCTGCAAAATCTTCCATATTTTTTATTTTATTTATTTTTCAATTGATTTAACACACATTAGAAGGATCCCAAGCATATTTGACTTGAGGTAAAGAAAATAAAATATTCATGCTCTCTTCATCAATTAAAAAATCTAATTGAATATTATCTTTTATATGTTCTTTATTTACAGCTTTAGGAATAACACCTATAATAATATTATATTATATTATATTATATTATATTATATATTATATTATATTATATTATATTATATTATATTATATTATATATCATATTATATTATATTATATTATATATCATATTATATTATATTATATTATATATCATATTATATTATATTATATATCATATTATATTATATTATATATTATATTATATTATATTATATTATATATTATATTACATTATATTAAATAATATGTATTAGAAATAAAAAAAAAAAGATAAATTATTTACCAATTCCTTGTTGTAAAGCCCAATTTAATAACAATCGCGCTGATGATACATTAAGTTGGGAAGCTATTTTTAATACAATTGGATTTCTTAAAAGATTAATATTGCCACTAGTTCCTAAAGAGGAATATGCTTGTATATGAATTCCTTTTTCATTGCAATATTTTATTAATTCTTCTTGACGATAATGTGGATGCAATTCAACCTATGATAAAAATTTTAATAAATATAAAAACAATAATGAATAATAAAATAATGAATGTAGATTAACTGTAAATGCAATTAACTTACCTGATTAACTGCTGGTAGTATATCTTTACAATTTTGTAATAATTCTTGTAGATGTTTAATTGTAAAATTAGATACACCTATAGATCTTATAAAACCTTGTTTTTTTAAATCCACTAACTTACTCCAAGTTTTTGCTCTTAAACTTGGATTATTTGTTGAAGTTTCTGGTATACGAGTTGCTCCTGGCCAATGAATCAAATACAAATCAATGTATGTAGTATTGAATGCTTTCAGAGATTTCTGCACACATTGTTCTATTCCCTTTGGATCACCATTTACACTTGGTGCTATTATTTAAATATATTTATAATTATATTAATCATATATATTTATCAAATATATTTATCAATACTTACGAAGCTTAGTTGTAATAAAAATATCACTTCTTTGAAGATTATATTTTGGTAATAAATTTTTTAAAGCATAGCCAATGTCTTCTTCATTTCGATATCCTACAGCTGTATCTATAATATAATATATAAAAAAATGATAGATTTCTATTATATAACAAAAATTAATATATATTCTTTTACGAATATATTAATAATTCACTTATACATATTTACTATATACATACCAATAGAACGAAAACCAACATTTAAACTTTCATCCACTACTTCATATACTAATTCTTTTCCTTGAATTTTATATGTTCCAACTAAAATAAAAATTTAATATTTTATTATAATAAATTACATTTTTTGAAAAGTATTTTTATTATTATTTTAATATTTTTTTTGATGTATTATTATATTATTATATTAATATGCATAGCATATTATATAATTTAAAGATTAATTTAAAATAATATGTATACATTATAAATTTATTATATTTTAATAAACTCACATCCAATTAGAGGCATATCATAACCACTTGAAAGACAAACATTTTTCACAATGTTGGTCATAATATTATTAATTTATTTTGTTAATATTTTATATCTGTATATTATTTATCAATATGCTATTCTATATATAATATCTATATCTATATATATATATTTATACATATACGCATAAATATAATAATATCATTATTATTTTTTTACAATGTCATCTTTCATAAAAAATATTAATTAAAAGGAAATTATGATTAAATTTTATTTTAGGATACCAAAAATTGGTATGTTAACTTTTTTTGTATTTTCTAATAATTTTTATTTTATTAATTAATTATTTTATCCAAAAAATAATTTTAAGTTTAGGAATCTATTAGTTTAAAATTATTATTATATCATATAAAATTAATGATTTTAATCACATCTGATAAGTAATATGATACTATATTAATTTGTATTTATTTATACACCAGTTTATTCAATGAGCGGAATTATTTGTATGTAGATGACGATCATATAGATCCATTAAATAATATCTTTAATGTATTGAGTTCATAGGATAGATTTTTTTCCAATCGCTAATATTGCCAATGATTATTATTTTGATAAATTATTTTTATTCCAATATCGAATCATTGAACAATCGTTGCAATACACGTCATTATATATATATATCATACGGACAAATCATAAAACAAAACAGGCATATTACATCTATACAATCAAATGTGATTTATTATGCTTAAATCACTTTTATGCGAATAGCGATTCCGCTTATTGTGTATGAATTATGAACAAATCAACATAGTATCTTAGTAATTTATTAATCTTCATATTATATTATATTTCTATATATTATTATTAATCTTAGTAACCTATCAAATACGTTTAAAATTATTAACTTTATATAGGAATAATTTTTCAACAAATAGTTTTCTAAAATTTTTGGATACTATTAATTAAAAACTATAATATAAATATAAAGATATAAAAGAAGATACAAAAAAATTTTAATCTTTTATCATCTTTTATCCCAAAATAAAGTTTTACTAAATTATTTCTATTATAATATTTAATTAATTTTATTTTATAATTGAATACATACAATTATAATTTATATAATAATTTTATTAATTATATATAGTATATAAAGTTAGCATATAATTAATACAAAGTTAATAGTGATAATACTTAGTACTGCGATCTATATTACATTGTATGTACATATATTTTATTCATGATAAAATATTTCAATCTGATTTTGACAGTTAAGCTTTTTTTCACATTTTGATATTTATAAAATTTTATAAACCATATAATTATAAATGTATATAAATCAAGTAAAAATAAAATAAAATATAGAATGGCTGAAGAAAATGAATCTTCGACACGACAAAAATCTGAAAATACTGGAGAGGTTATAAAAGAAATAGAGGCTGATATTAGCCGCTATTTTGAAAATGCATCTCGCACAATTTTTGACGAGATTGTGTCACCTAAAAAAGAAGACTTTTTTAATATACGAAGAACTTCTGAAAGTAGAATTCCAGATTTTGAATTACTCACAGATCAGTCAAATGAATTTTTAAAAAGCAATTCATTACTCGATGATGAACGACTCGATCACAGTGGCACAAATGATGTACACAGAGATGTATGGATACCTTCTGAACAAACAAGAAAAATTCTACGAAGTATTGCTACATCAACTGCTGGGACTAATTCTCTTGATAGAGAGAATTTGACAATGCCAGGTCTTGCAGTACAAGGAGATATGCCAAATTTAATAAAAAGTACTGTTGTGCGATTTCTAGGTGAAGATGAAAATATACAAAGGCATGTACTTACTGCTTCTGATGTAACTCAAGATGAACGTGGTTTAAGGACATTAATACAAGCTGGTTGTTATAAAGCAGCAATAAATTTATCAGGAAGATTATTAGCAGTATATGCTCAAGGATTTGGCAAAATAAATCAACCTAGTAAACATTCTCCACATTCTTTACAACTATGGTATACAAGGCTAGCTCTTTTGACTAAACTTAAGCAAATTGATATTTTAGAAAATGAATCAAAACCATTTGGTAATTTAGATAAACCAGACATGTATTTTACATTTTATCCTGAACTTTATGGTACTAGACCAGGTTCTATGGCTTCTTTTTCTTTTAGATTACTTTTAGCTGAAATTCCAATGTATTGTGGTAAAGCAAAACAAGCATTGGATAATCTTTTTAAACTTCTGTCAATAGCGAATCAAATTATAACTAATTTTAATGCTGGATTTAATGGAGATGGATCCCATATTAAAATCAATTGCGCAGAACAAGAAGATGCTATACGATTATGGAAAGCCAGAAGATCTAGAATTCTTATATCTGTTACTAACTGTGCAGTTAGCATGAAAAATTATGTATTAAGCATAAATATTTTAGAAAAACTTTGTGAATCTGCAGATTGGACATCTGAACAAATGGATGCATTAAAAGCTAGTATAGGTAGATTACATCTATTTTTGGGAGATGTTTCAGCAGCAGAAAAATTTCTAATTAATTTACACAAAAAAGATAATAATCTAACTGTTCGAGAATTAACAGATAGAGGATTATTAGCAGTAGCTCATAATTCTTTTCAAGAAGCATATAAATGTTTTCAAGCAGCAGAAGCATTGGATCCATCAAATATCGCATTAATTAATAATATGGCTGTTTGTCTTTTATATACAGGCCAGTTAAAAGCTGCAGTTCATTTATATGAAAGCATGATAACAAGAAATCCTGTAAAAAGTTTACAAGAACCTATATTGTTAAATATATGTACATCATATGAATTACATACTATTCATTGTAAACAACCGAAATTACATTTGCTAAATCAATTAAACAGATATAAAGGAGATTCTGTAGATATACAATGCCTAAAACTTCCTTTAAATTAAAATTATTTTGTTTATCTATAATATATAATCAGGCTAGAAATAAAATTTTTAATTTTTTATTTAATTATGAAAATGTATAAATTTTAATAATAAAATAAAAATTGATTTCAATTGTATTCTTAAAAATTTAATATTAGTTAATTTTTATTTTTTATTATCATTTATTACTTTCTTTCGATGAATTAATCTATAAAATTATAAAATTTATCAAATTGAATTCTCATCTATGATTTCATTTTGAATTATAGATGAAAAATTTATTATTCTATTGATATTTATAAATAAAATATGTAAAAATGCCATTCTATATATATTGTCTACTATATTTCGGAATAAATATATTCAAAATATTTGTGAATAAATATATATATTTTAAACATGAATTCATATTCAATTTAAATTATATACGAAATAAAATGCATTTATATCAAATTTGATTTTATAAGAAAAAGATAATATTATATGATATAATTGAAATATTACTTTTTATTTATTTATTTTCTAAACTTAATGACAAGCAATTTTTTTAGAATTAGAATAGAATTTTTCAGATTCAGCATACGTAAAATTCTATTCCCAAACAAGAAAACTTAATTGATATATTTTATATTGAATTTATATACTACTTTTGTAACATCTATTTTTTGCATAAACAGATCAAATTTGTAGAAAAAATGTGAACTATAATTAATTTTCTTCTATATTATTCTATATATAAAATATTCCAAAAATATGGAAATTGGAATTTGTTATTGGTCAATGATTCTTCTATATTATTAAGAAAGATACATTGTATCAAGAAACGCTGAAAATTATAGAATATCTTATAGTTTTGTCACGAAATATGTACATAATACAGTGTAATATTATAAAAAAGTTATAGTATATATAATAAAATGAACAAAAATTGTAGCAAATATGCTATATTTTTTTCTTCTTTTAATTAAAAATAAATTACTAAATATTCCAAATAAATTTTTATGTATTTTGTATTTGTTATTACGTTTATATAATATTTACTATTTATTTATAATTTTTTCAGAAATAAAGTTTTGTTAAAGGTTTAAAAATTTAGATTCGCTGAATAATATTTTAAAAAATTCTTTTTCTAAATATTTTGCATTTTGCCGATAACAACAAATAAAATTGAATAGAAAAAAATAGCGGATAAAGAAGAAAAAGGAATGAGAATGAAAATAGAAAGTCTAAAAGAGCTTACATATCGACGAAGCAATAGTAACACAAAAATTGTTTTATTTTTATTAATGAAAATGTTATTATTATATTAATAAGATTTTTTTTATTAAAATGAGATCAAATACAATATAATTTGTTTCATACTCATTTAATTAATAAAAAATTATACATATGTGTATATATGTATGTATATATAATACATTAATCTTTTGAAATTAAATTAAGAATGTTCGATACAACTTAACAAATTAAAGATATTATAAACTAGATCAAAATTTTTTGAAATAACATGAAATATGTAAGGATTTTATAACGGTTTATAATGCCAGATATAACATTAAAATTTTAACAATAATTCCATAGATTAATTGATTAATCTACAATTTTTTACAAAATATATTCATAAAATAATTTTTTAAAACTAATTTAAAATTCGCACATAAATGTTGAAGCAATAAGAATATCATTAATTTAATTTATTATTAAAAGTTAAATTAGCCAATAATTTTATTATAATTTTATTAACTACATTACTTTATTAAATATATTAATTCGCATATTACAATTATCACATGCAAATTGAATTTCAAACATATTATTTCTTTAAATCGCTTTATATTTGTTACAGAAAATCATATCATAAATTCTGTTAATTGATTAAAGCGATACTGAACAATAAATAGGTAAAAAATATTTCATTATTTGAAAATAATCAATTTAATTTAATTAGATAACTAGTTGTTACTATTCAATAGCTATAAAATTTTTAATAAATAGATTCTCTAAATTCTTTTATCCTATCAACAATCATGAACGTAAAAAAAAAACAGTAAGTAAGAAAAAAAATTCACAAATCCAATCAACCAATTTTTATGATAATATTTTAAGAAAATCCTTCAAATATATTAGTAAAATTTTTATGAACAAAAAATTGAAAATAAAAATCTCTCGTCGTTGCATTGGTATTAATATTTTATTGATATGAAGATCATAAAAATCTTGCCAATTAATTCTTTTCTTTTGATTCTTCCTTTCTAATTCTTTCTAATCTTTCTATATTTCTAATTTTTTAAATAAAATTTGAAATATATTATAAAGGATTTTATTTTGAGCAATTTTTTGCTTTATAATATAATAATTAGCGATCAATTTTAATTTTTTGCAAAAAACTTTCAATACTATTATATTAAATTTTTCCTATGTATCACAACTTTATATTCGTATCACAACTTTATATTCGTATCACAACTTCTCAATTGTTTGCATAAACATATAATAAATATCATTATATTTAACGTGCCATTTATGCTACAGAATCCGGATCCGAAATGCGAAAATAAAATATAAAACAACTTTTGATCGAAATTAATTTGAACAAACAACAATGACCGAAGTTAATTTTCTCATTGTATATTATGTATATAAAAAATCTTAGAAAAGATTCCATTCAAATCCATAAGGAAATAAATTTTCGATAAATTTCTTTATTATACATACATATTTGTATATCGTTATCAGTCGTCCCAAGTGACAATTACATATTATAATGCATATAAATAATCATGAATGCTCTTGTAAATAGAATTCAATATAACTTTTTGTGAATAAGTCAAAAATTAAAACCAATCTCTAATTATGTATAAAAACATATATATTTGAAAAAATTGTTTAAAATAAAGTTTTTTATAACATATTTTGAAGACAAGTTGATCTAAATTTTTAAAGAAATTTAAAAAGGAATCATTATCGTATCATTCGCTTACATGTTGAAGGAAAATATTCTCTCTCCTCCTATGGCAGAGATAAATGATTAATAATTAACAGATAAATTCTTACGAATAATTTTTATTATAGTATTTGATTTTAATCGATTATTTCTTTTATTTTAGATTACGATTCCATTATAATATATTCAAATGAATAGAAATTTAATTATTATATTATTATATCTAAATATTATTATTATATTTAAATAGATAGTTAATATTTAACATGTTAAGATATAAGGAGTATGGAACAAAAAATGTAACACTGATGTCAAAGTAAAATAGCCTTTATTACATCGTGAAACGAGGACAATTTAATGAACGTTCAACAATTGCTAGAATTCTCTCTTTCTTTCGTCCTTTCAAACACACAGACATACACATTCTTTCACTATTCTATCATTCTCCTTTCATGCGCATCATTTAATCATTTACACTTTATCTCACATCTTTTTTCTTTTTTTCGTTTCTTTACCTTTATTTGTTTTCACACTGACATAGCTAACATGCTCGTAATGTTTTTCGAGAATAATGCATTACAGGACACATACTTTGTCATGTCAAACAACCTCGTTCGATTTATGTATACGCATAATTAATCCTCATATCCTGTCTCTTTCGTCCATTCATTTTTCTTCATAGTTTAAGGATTTTTGACGATTCTAACATTATTTTGTTTTGTTATTCTCTGTTTCTTTCTTTCATGTTGCTTATCATTTTTTTCTATTAGATAATAAATCAATAGCATACACCATTCAGATCGATTCCAAAACTGCACTCTCTCTCCCTGCAGAAAAAAGGCACGAACTGGCGGAAAAGTCGGCCTAACTGTATAATATTTTCATTTTATTTATTATGGATGGAACTTCGTCACAATACATTATTTTTAATTTCATTTCTTTTCTCTGCTGCTTCTTTCCGCAGTGTGTAACAGATTCGGCTCCGCTTTTATTTCAGCCGAATTCATCGATTCGTGCTTTGAAAGTTCGCCGCGTAGTGCGCGCAGTGTTCGATCCTTTTGAAAATTCATTTCTCTTCATCCTTCAATACATATATTTTCAACTCTTTTTTCTTTTTTTTTAAAATTGTTTCTCTATTTTAAATGCCCATTATCAACGATCAAACTTTTAAAAGAAGATCGCTTTATTTAGAATAATATATTTTTTTAACATTAATTAGCGATTTACAAGATATACTCCTTCTCCAAAAAGTGACTATCATATAAAAATTGATTTTAAATTAAATAATTATTTTGTATTAAATATACTTATTGTTTTTGTGATATATTGTAACATAAACTATTAAAAATAAATAATTCGAAATTAAAATAATTATAATTTTTTCAATAAAATTTCATTATAATTTAAAATTCAAATATTATAGCACAATTATGTTTTAAACTGTTTTGCAACCGCTCGCTTCAATAATACGAGATCATTTCACCCGGAGAAGGCACTGCATCCACTACGCAGCTGGAACCTCGGGTTTTTTTTTATTATTTTTTCCCCAACATTCTCTCTAGTATCTATCGTATTACGTTTCATTGTTATTCACAGTATATTCGCATCGCTATTCGTGGCGACTAAATGTAAACTTACGAATGTATTATCTATATACATACACGCTATAACGTGTATACACATATACGCATACATACACATTCTTTGTATCCATGGCGTATATGTGCAGGCTTGTATTTAGCTTTATTCTTTTTTCCACACTTACGATTTTTATATATATATATATATACTATTGTATTAATGCTTATGCTCTCTAATCTCTAAAAAGAAACGGTATTATTATTGTCCTGCCATATTTTTTCCGAGTATTTCTTGGTGTACATACATACAATACACGCACACACGCACGATTCTGATGCTTATGTAACGTAGTTATGGAAAGCTCGATAGCATAACCACCAGTGTTCGTCGATTATAGTTTAAAGCAAACATTTTATTATTCCCGCGCGCTTTTTGTATAAAAAAAATCACAAAACATTCTTATGAAATTCATAGAACACCTTTGTCATGAATAGAATACACATTTCTACTGATATTAAAATGTTTTTTATATTATAATTATACGAAGAATCTCTACTGTATTTATATAGTTTATGGTACTATTTATTCGTTCTATATTTATTGTCCATGATAGAGAAAACAAATGATCAATAGATGGGGGAAGCATCGCGGGAATAATGTTACTTTCAACGAGAGAATTCTTTTCGAGATCGAATTATTGAATTATTGAATATGTTATTTCGGTAACTAGGCAAGCTCGGTCGTTCACGGAAGGCATCGTACGGTGCTCATTTTTTAAATCGTTGCATCAACAATCATTAACAATTTTTTTTTCTTGTATTTATCTCTTCGCTTTCTCATTTCGTTTGTTTCATGTTTATACGAGTATTTTTTTTTTTTTTTTTTTTTTTTTTTTTTTTTTTTTTTTTTTTTTTTTTTTTGTTTAGGAAGTAACGGAGACATAATCGATGCCGATGAGCGAAAGCTGGCAAAATTACACTGTAGTCTGTGTGTTATTTAATAATACGTACATACATACATCGAGGCGAGCAGGTTGCAAATACTCTCGAATCAGAGCAAATATTTCTATCTTTTTATATCTATATTTATATATTTATATATTTATATATATAATTTTTTTATTCTTTTAGTCACTTATACGTATGTAATATTGTCTTCGTAAATTTCCTGCTTTTCCTTCCTGATGTCCTAACCCGTTGGTCGTGAAAGTACAGAATTGAGGTTTTTTCAAGTGTGAAAATAAGAATAATCAAATTAATAGCAAAACTTAACACGAAATAAATTTTTATATAAAATTATAGAAAGTAAAAATATTTAAGGAATGCCGGTAAATTAATATATATCAAACGATTAAAAAATTGTTATAAAGAAATCGTACAAACAAAAACAAGTCAATGAAAATAAAGAACGTAGCATAATGATGAGAAATAACGGAGAAAAATAACAAAGAGATTGCACAGGAACGTTAAATCGTTTACGATCGAGTTTCGAAAACTAGAAAATAAAAATAGAAGATTCTCGCGTATCTGTACCGGCCGAGGAACAGACTCGTCGCGGGTTCACAGATCCGCGGCGATCGATTAGTACTATATATATATATATAATATATCGTGTCATAATATTATAATAATATAAAAATATATTTCTTAACTATTAACACTATAATAAATGAGTATTATAAGCATCATATCTGGATTTTTTTTATCGTAGTACGGACACGATGCCTGTCGCGGATAACCGGAGCTTTTAGACGCGGAGGAAATGCAACGGTGGCACCCCGTTCGAACACGACACTATTTTTTTGGCGCGACTCTTTAAACATTACATTCTTTGCCGTGTATCTCCGAATAATTCATCGTTTCTTTTTATCAATTTTTATCAATAACAATATATATATTTATATAATATAATATAATATATATATATCACTTGTCACTCGTGGTACGTGTAAATAAAAAGAGGCATAAACCGTTATAAAATACAATTCTCGAGTATTATCGATCTGTAGATTATATATATAATATATATATATACCGCTTACCTACGCGTCCGAACGAATAAAATCATAAAAATGTTGTAATAATAATTTTTTTCTGTTTTAATAGTACAGTATTGGAAGCATTTAATATTATACTTAGAGTTTATGATCGGGGCCCGGATCTCGGTGAAGGGATTTTTTCGTTTTTCTTTATAACATTTTTTTTTTTTTTTTTTTTTTTTTTTAATTTTTTATTGCGAGGTTCTCGATGCCATTTTCCTTTCAGATGTCTGAAAATGATCAGCTCATCTATCGAAATCTCTGATGACATAACGGACTTCGACAAAAAGTACGAGAGGCCATAGTGATGTTTTATGATTTATGAATAATTAAAAAGCATGTTTCTCACGGAAAAGGTATTTTTGTTTTTATCTTCCTAGGGTGTGAAACATATTTCATTTCTAAATCGTTTTTCTTCATATGTATGATAATACGTGGAGATTCAAATATTAAATATAATGATGTTATATTTTTTAAATTAATTCTGTATATCTTTCTTTATGAAAAGATATGTAATATTTAATAGTTTAAAACTTAAGTTATCGTACTTCAATAATTCAAAAAAAACAAATATGAATTTAATTTACAAAAATAAAAAAATATATAAAATATTTAAATAATTAGAAATTTATTAATTAAATTAATTAAAAATTAATTTATATACAAATGATATGAAGCGACCAGGAAATCTAATAAAAAAATGAAAACTATTGATTTACAAATCGAATCTCACACATAACATTATGGATCATGCAATGACTTGGATTTTAAAGTAAGTACATAATGATCGAAAGTTATTCATTATGGCATCGATCACCGATAGATAAGGCCCAGAAACACCTTGACGCTATATATAATAAATTGTTATTTGGCCGAACCTTTTTACATCGAGTTTTAAAAAAAATCACTCGATTATGAAAGCATATTGTGTACGACTAGAAATTCTAGTCTCTATTCTCAATAATTTATCAGAATTTACATTTAAGCTCTCTCAATTTAGCAGATTAAATTCAAATGTATTCTTTTTCTGTCCGGTGTTTCAATCTTTTTCGAACATTATATCTTTAATTTTTATTCTTATTTAATTGTATGCGCGAGCTTATCATTTTATTTTTGTTCTTTTTCATATCAACTTTTATATTTTGAATTTTTAAACGTTTCAAAAATTTATTATTATTTAAGAACAATAATGAATGAATGAATTAAGATATTATTGCGTAACAGTTGAAAAATATTATTTGACTGATATTTCAGGAACTAAACATTATTCTTTCGTAACTTTTATTATCGTTATTTTTTTTTTCTTAATAAATAAATTACTGGTGAGAGAAAATTTGATAAAAAAATATTCAGAAAATTACTCTTGTCATTGCTAAATTCTATTTCTTTTGTTTATAGAATATATTACGAAATTTGTTTTGTTCTTCATGAAATATACATTTGCACACGCGCAACCCCTTCAAAACGAAACTTTTTCATATCCCATATCCCTTCGCCAGTTTGCGCGTCGCGATTGAATTATCGCGTGCCCCGTACGAACGTGGCTAACAAATTTGTACGTTAATTAGTTTCCTTATTATTGTCATGGTATATATAATAATCTTGTTAATAAAAATACTAAAATATTATGTATATTATATATAATATATAATAGATTATTGCATTATGCATTTTTGGTACCGTTGCATATTGTTTGGTTTTTTTTTTTAATGCTTGTCGACTCGAAGTCGCTGCGAAATCTTTTCTTTTTTTTTTATTATTTTTTATTTTTCTGCTTCCTTTTATATTTTTTAATTCTTCATTCTTTATTTCATCGCGAGAACGAATTTGAGAAGAAATTCACGTAACATTTGGACGATTTTGCTCTCGTTCAAACAGAATTGCGATTATCGAATCTTCAGTTATTGATTATAACACATTATTTTAATTTTCTATCCTTTTTTCTTTCTCTTAGAAATCGCACTGTTTCTTTTCATAATCTCCTTCAATCTTTTCCAGCTAAATATTAATATTTTTAGGCTTTAATTATTTGTTGCGTTTCACGCAAGCGTTTTCACGATTTTAAAATGCGTGCGCGAGATCTTGTATGGAAAATTTCGAAGCTATTTTCCATTTTTTTAATATAATTTCCGCATTGATGGAAAATATACATATAATATACGTATGATATACGTATAATTATTACGGTTCGAAGCATTTCTTTTTTTTTTTTTTTCTTTTTTTTTAAATGCCGAATCCTGTATTAAGAAAGGAAAAAAAGACCGTACATACTTAGCTAAGTCAGCGAGAGAATCTTCATTTTCAACTAGCGAGAATATTTCTATTCTCTATATGGCTTGCAGTAAGAGTAACGATGATTCATGTGTTGACTATAGGAGCCAGAGTGAGAAAAGCGCTTGAGACATTTGGAGCATTGGAAGGGTTTTTCGCCGCTGTGCAATCGCTTATGTTCGGTCAGATGATGCTTGTGCTTGAACGCCCTTGGGCACTCTACGCATTTGTACGGCCTTTGCCCTGTAAATATTTATTAATTTTTTAAAAACTGTATATTTATGTGTATTTATATTTATTATATATATTATATATTAATTTTATACTAATTTTAATTAATTTATATAATAAATTTGCATATTAATTAAAAATTAATATTATCTATTTAAATCAATTGATAATTATTTGATTTAATTTTGTAAAAAAATTAAAAAATTTCGTTATTTATCAATATCTTTATTAAATTATATAATCTTTAAATTAAATATTTATTACTTCTTTTAATAAAAATAAAAATTAGGAGAAAAGATGAATGGAATTTCACTTATCTATAAAATATTTAATGATAAATTTGTCGAAAAGATATTTCTTTTATCGATTTTAATTTTATTAAATATATTTTTAAAGATATTATTTTTAATAACTTTTTTTATATATAGATACATACAGCGACTTTTGAATATTAATGAGAGAAGAAGTGATTTTTTTGACAAATTTACTGAATTTAATTAATATAAAATATTATATATTTTTTTATGTAGATAATACATAAGATATTGTATGATAATATGTGATGTTCTATTAAATCATGATATTTTATGTAGATAATATGTTAATATAATAAACAATTTTTCTTTCAAAATTTTCAAGATTATTTGAAGATTACTTTGTATTATGTTTTATTAAATAATTCTTCAAATATAAAAAGATATATATATTTTATACATACCGGAATGTTCATATTTGTGTCTTGCTAGGGAACTGTGTTTGGAAAATGTTTTGTCACAGCGATCACAAAAGTAGACACCCTGCTCAATTTCTGCTGCTGGCGAAGCCTCTGGTTGACTCGTATTTTCACTTTCGTTTTTCATATTTATTTGAGGTTGACTCTGTATATACAAAATCTTGCATTATAATTATTATTTAAAATAAATATTTTAATAAATATTTTAATAATAAACATTTTTATAAAAACTATTTTAACTTATTTTTTTATAAAATATTTTATATTTCATCATTAATATTTATCTCTTTCTCTTATTACTGTTTCTTGTTTTATTTGTGTATAAATTTTTATTCATAATTTTTATGTTTTACCTTTGGAACAATTTCTGCCGTTGAGACCGTACGTTTTGTTTCTACAGAATCGGTAGTTTCTTCATCAATAACAAGTGGCGAATCCTCCAAATCATCCGCGTCTTGATTATGCGAAGATGCATTATCGTTCTTCTGTTCAACAGGAGACGAAGATGTGAACTTTACACAGACAGTGTTATTGTCTTTGCGTACCGATTCTGTAAGAGCTTCTTTCTTAGACAAATCTAATGGTTGTTCGTATATTGTCTGACTAGCCGGATTAGCCAACGGTACTAGAGGTGGTATTTTCGATTCTCGTCGATCTCTCGCTCGGGAATTTTGGAACCAAACCTGAACATCGAATAATTTGTTCATAATATACTTTGAATGGTATTTTTCTTAATAAAATAATTATACAATATGTCCATTTCAAATTTCTATTTCTCTTTTGAAGTAATTGTCAAATAATAAATGACACAAAAAATATAATAACTTTTTTTTTATTATATTTGTTATTATGTTTTTTTTTTATGTAGATAATATTGATATAAATTTTTTTTTTAAATTTTTAAGATTATTTGAAGATGATAAAAATGTTAACAATATTTTTATTTATATTTAATGAAAAGCAAAAAAATATAAATTCAAAACAATATATTCAAATGATCTTATCACTATGATTAAATCAATACATCACAAGAGAAGATATTGTACAAAAACGAAATAATATGTATTTCGCATTACATTATTAAAATTTAATTTCTTTTAATATAAAAACAAAAGACTTGAAAATTAACAGAATATGAAGGCATGACTGACAATAAATATTATTGAGAGCAAACTCAATATGCAAAATCTTCAATAGTTTATATTTTCGTTGAAAGTAAATGATATTTTACAAAATAAATTCATATAAATTCATATAAAACTACTCTTCATATAAAACTAGATTTAAATAAAGTAGATTGAATATAAAAAATGAATAAACAAAATGAATTAAAAAAATTCAATCTTTTTTTATTTCAACAATATGTTCTTCATTATAACCATGTTAATTTAAGAGCACTTGAATATAATAGTTTAAATTTGTATTTTTTTACTGTTTCGTTACATGAAACTAAAAATATTGTATTTTATTTAAAAAATTTTTTTCATATTATTTATTATTTGATATAACACGACAAAAATTTAATATCTTAAATATAAGATATCCTATATATATATACTATTATTATTATAATGAGCTTACAATGATATGATTTAATATTCTACTGATTTGAATAATATTATAATAATAATGACTTCAGTAATATTATAATAATATCACAATATTTTAGTTAATGCTAATATTTAAAACAAATTCAAAATATATTTATAATCCTTGAAGAAATTATAATAATATAATAAACTAAAGATTAAATAATAATTATATTAATGCCATATTCCGTATAACATTATAACAGATTAACCTTTTGTAAATAAATATTTTTTCATACTCAAATAGAAGTTATTCATGTTTTATTCTAATTCTTTTATATTCTAATCTTTCAAAAAATCTAAGAAAGCTTTGAAAAAAATTATTAATATCTCTAGATTACATAACCATTTGTTAAGTCAAATTTTATTCTTTGAGGAAAAATAAATTCATAAAAGGAAAGAAATTCAAAAGAGAAACTTTCTTTAGATCAATGATTTAGTTTGTTTATGAAAGATTAATTGAACAAATTCTTTGAAAAATTTTTGAAGCAAAAATATACACCTGCACGACACGAGTAGGAAAATTGATGTAGTTGGCGATCATGGTGATCTCCTCTTTCTTAGGCCGAGGATTAATAGCATAGTAACCCTTGAGAACAGCCAATTGTTCATCGTCTATTAATGATCTAGCTCTAACTCTCCTTCCATTATCGTTGTGCATCTGTGTACCATCTTCTTCGTCCTCTGAGTCCGCCTCCGAACTATCCTCTGTTGTTTTTCTCTTATAGCCTGATTTCGCATTGGGCTGATTCACGTCTTCGAGTTTCGCCGCTAAACCTTCACTCTGCGAATCATATTGATCCGTCGCTGACCAATCTGGATAATGTGCCATCTCGCTGGACATCTCGCTGTCTTGATCCTGTATAAATTCGTTTATTAGTGATCAAAAGATTCTAATTGCATTGATTTGATAGAGTAATCTAATTAAAAGAAAAATAAATTCTTTTAAAAATCGTTTTTAAATGATTTGAAATTATTTATTCAACTACTTATTCAATTAATGATGAATTTCTTTGTATTATAATTCAAATATATTTTTTAGTTTCTATTGAAATATTTTTAAGTAATATTAAAATAATATTATTGGATAATTATCGCTCTTTTATTCTATTAATCTTCTATTAATTTTTTTCAATATTTCGAATTTGAGAATCGAAAGCAATTTTTTAAATTGTATTATTCTTTTAATAAATAAATAGTATAAATACTTGAAATATATTAAAAGTGAAAAAAATAAATAAAAATATTTATAAAACAAAAATTTCATAAAAATAAATTTTTATTATTAGATTTTCAAGGTTACTAGATAGGTGTAACTTTTCGACTTTTGTATTATTACTTTTGTGTTATTTTATATTATTTTGTATTATAATGTATAGAACAATATACATCAATAAGATTTTTACATAACCTTGGAATAATATTATAGAAAGATTACAGAAAATTGACCTTATCACCTTACACTGTGATTGTTTATAGCACAAGTTTATGAAACGTCAATTATTATCAAGAAGTATATGATTAACAGAAATATAAAAAATTTCTATAATAAATCAATCATTAAAATTTAAATTTTTTTTTTTCATTTTTTCTTCCCGTCAAACAAATTAGACAATTTAATAATATTTTTAGAAGTTCAAATTTTTTCGTTATAAAATTATCATGTTCATACAAATAATTGTATAAATAATTGCATTTCTAAAAATACTTCCATATAATAAAAAATTATATAATTTAAATATATAATAATAATAAATAAATAATAATTATGCAAATGAAATAAATGTTAAATTGATATCACTAATTAAAAATTGATAACAATTTGTAAAACTAAATTAAATTAATTATTAAAAATAAATATTATATTAATATATATTGTTATATCTCTATTATATTAGTATATGTATTATATATCTCTATTATATTAATATATAAAATATATATTCAAAAAATTATCAGCGATTTCTTTTTCAATTTCATTTGCGTCACTAGATCAATGAGAGAAACATCTTATGAGTGAGACAAACAAATATTTGGTTTGCTTTACGATACGTATCTTAAGTTTCTATAGTCATATGTCTAAAAACTCAGAATTAATCTTTCAAAAACTTTCAAAAATTAAATTTTCGGTTTCATAGTGTCAAAAATAATTCTGTAACAATTAAATGGACAAAAAGTACAATAGTTAACTGGGCACCATTATATATCTATTCAGTTCAATTTCCGGAAACATATCTCTATTTAATCAATATCTCAGTTATCGGTAAACACTATCCTCTCAATTCTATCACGATGCAAATCTCGTTATATACAATCAATATATTATCCGCGTCACATCGTAAACATAAACATCTAGCCTTCTTCTCACAGACGAACAGTAGAATTCTCATAACAATATCAACACATCATCTTACTTGATAATCCTCCTCAAACTCCCGTTTCATCGTGGCCGGCGATGTGGATAATTTCCGCACGTTCGCCTCGAGCAGTTGTTTCGTTACAGAGGTGTTCACCGTTTCGAGAATACGCCGAACTGCGTCCAGACCCTGAGGATCGGTGGGTGCCGGAGATTCTTTGCCCTCTGTGCCCTCTGTGCCCTCAGAATCCGCTGTCGACGGGCTCATAAGTTCCCGATGAGACTCGAATTGCTCGGCTACCTCGTCCAATCTCTTGGAATGTAGCTGATTTAAGATTTTGCCCAAGGACGTCTGCAGAAAATAACTGCCGAAACCCATCATTTGTGGCAGAAGGGTAGGCATATCGTAAATACCTGAAACAAAATCGTTTTATTTTATTATGGATTTTTCTAATTCGTATATTTTTACGAAGTTTAAATTATTATATATGAAACAATTTGCCAACTTTAATTGGATAACGAGAATTACTTTTTTTACTTCATCTTATTTTTTCTAATAGACATTATTTTGAGAAAAATAAACATTTGATTTATGAATATTGAACTATCACAGAAATATATATCATAAACTGTTATTTTATGCGGTTAAATTAAAGTGTTTAAATTGAATACTGCGACAAAGTTGAAGAATATATAATACTTGATTAATTCCTTGCTTAGAATGATGCTTTTAAAATATAGATTTTTAGTAATACCATACAAATTTTGAAAGTTATTTATCACAAATTTTATTATATTTTATAAAATATCGATAATCCTGAACTTTCATTTCTTTACAATTTTATTTTGAATATTTGATATTGAAAATCTGAATGAAAATAAATCATATTGACACTAACATCTTTTAATTAAATTATAAAGCAAGAAATTAAATAAATAAGAAACGTAAAAAAAGAATAAATTATGAATTCATATTTACCAAAAATTTTCAATATATTTGAATGAAAGCATTTAATTTATCTAAATTTTGAAATTTCTTAAAAAATGTTTTTTTCTTTATTTAAATTTTTTTTATATAATTAATATACTTAAAAAATTAAATTTCCTCAACATTTTTCGATATAAATTACGAATTCAATTTAAATAAAGCAAATTTCAACAATATGTACACTTATTCGATGCAAAATTAAATAAAGTCAAATGGAGCAATTTCTTCCTTCCAAATCAGTATTCGATTGTAAATCGAATTCACGAATTCACAAATCATTCAAAGTGCAAAAGACGACTATGGTGAAATGGAATGGCGTTATCGACCCTTACCCGCTCCTTCTCGTTGTATCTCCTGATAATCCGAGGGTGAAAGCTTCGGCAGAATAGGGAGGAAAGTGTTATTATTCGCCGCAAGCAGATCGACATCGCGCCGCCCCGGCGGCAGGGATTGTTGCGCCTTTTTCGATCCGCGGTCCACGTTGCTCACATTCGTATGCCTGGATTTCTTTAAATTCACTATCAGGCACTTCTTCGAGGTCATGTGACTCGAATACGAGCCCGAATGGGAAAAACGTTTGCCGCAGTTGTTACATTGGAATGGCTTTTCACCGCTATGAATGCGAAGGTGCTCCTGGGAACAAAAAGGAAAAATAAAAATGGAAATTGAAATATTGAAAAAAATGGAGAAACAATGATAAGAACTAATAGTGAATATGAAATTAATTTTGAGGAATATTCGTTCCAGTGCAAGTATATTGATTAATGCATTCTATGTTTCTATTTTTTTTTTTAAAGGAATGAAAATTACATAAAATAATATAGAAACATTCTGTTTGGACAAATTAAACATTTAGAAACATTCTATTATAGGAGAAATTATATCAAAGTCAGGCAGTGCTGTGTGAAAATAAGTAATGAAAAGGAAAATAAAGAACGAAAATAACGATGTACGAATGAGAAATGAAAAATAAGGGTGCACTCGTAGTACCTTGAGGTGATGCTTAAACTTGAAGGCTTTCTCGCAATGGGGACACTTAAACTTACGAAGCACAGCACTCTCATCATGGCTGATCATGTGTCTCTGGAGTCGGTAGACGTTGGCGAAGGTTTTGCTGCACACCTTGCAGGACTGCAAAAAATTATTGATTAATATTAATATCAAGTTTGTTTGATAGATTATAATCTTTTTATTAAATGATTATTTATTTTCAAAAATATACTATTTTTCTTGTTTATGATTCTTTTAATTACTATTTTATTATGATTTTTTTGTTTATTTATATATTTTACATATTTATTACTAAGAATAAATATTATTTCAATTTTTTTATTTATATCTAATTTTAGAGAAAAAAACAACGATAAAGATAAAATATAAATTTTATGTATTAAAATTTTTTAAAAGAAATAGATAAATTATAAATAGAAAAATATAAAAAAACTTGTTTGTTCTTGGAATCACGTTAATTTAACCGTTATAAGCGTAAAATAATAAAGACAAATAAAAATATCAAACAACATTGGAAGCAGACATGCGTTTATCGCGAGAATGAACCTCTTTAAATCTTACAATCGCACAGATGTGATGATACTGTTTTACATAAATTTAATGATGAATCATACATCCAACAATAATATAAGAAATGCATTCTTGCGTATATATAATACGCAATAAATAATTAAAACAACGATTTTTATCCATTTCTATATGAAGCATTATACAAATAAGACAAAGATCATTCTCAATTTTAAGAATCATTAATCTCATCATCGAAACATATTTTAAATTTCTTAAAATCCAATTCGCTTCTTCTTCTTAACCATTTTCTATTATTATTCGAACATCTTAAAATAAATTAAAACAAAAAAAAGGCATCCAACAACAAGAAAAAACAATTATGTAAAGAAAAAAGCGAACAAAGATGAACAAAAAGCGAGAGAAAGGGTGAGAGAAAGAGGAATATATAAAGAAGAATCCGCAAGCCGGTCGCGCATGATCGATAATACACAAGGAACAATGGAGTCCTCTCGTCCTTGACGTTAGTTTCACTCACCACTTGGGGGAATTGAGCGTTGAGATCGTTCTTGTCGATGGCGTACGAGGTCTTGTGCGTGTCCTCGAGATGGAGCTGAAGCACGTGGACGTCCCGACAGAGGAAGCCGCACTGGGGACACCTCTCGCCACCCTGTTTCGTCGATCCGCCCTCACCGCTGCCACGGCCACCACCCCCACCTCCTCCTCCTGTTCCTGCTCCTGCTCCACCACCGCCTCCACCACCACTACCAGCCTCGCTACCTGTCCCGCTGCCACCTCCACCCCCACTTCCTGTGGTTGGCGCCCCAGCCGTGCAACCTCCGCCCACCTCCGCGTTCACGACACCTGCTGCCTCGTCCTCGCTGCAACCTGAAACACAACCAGCCACACGTGCACTAATGTTTCACCTTCTCTCTCTTTTCTATCTATCTGTATCCTATCTCTTCTCTCGTCCGTTCTCTGTTTTTTTTTCCACTTCCTATCGGTATGCGATAACAGGCCATAGAAACACGATTGTGAGCAATTGTCACGGGCCTGGTTGCATTTTAGGTTTACGATGTGAAATAGTTCTATTATTTTCGATTTATGAAATTCTTTTCTTTTTCTTTTTCCGATTTTGATTTTCTTTCGCGCAGATTTGATTTTTTTACAAATTTTTTATATATTTATATATATAAAGAGATTCATTATATGTAAACATACGATTTTGTTCAAATAAATGATTAAGATTTTTTATTTTATTTGAATAAATAAATATTTTTTTGGAAATGTGATCTTGATTTGATATTGTTTAGATTACGTCTTGGAAAACATATTCGTTACAATTATTGATAACTTCCTCGTTAACTACTTATATTACATTATATACAAGGTATTAATTACATTCGTGGGAGACTTTTATTCGCATTAGATGAAACAAGACGAGAATAGAATGCAATGGCGTATAGTTTTCGATGTATATATTACATCAATGTTCGGAATAAAAATTATAATTTCAAAAAATAATTAATTTTTTATATATTTTAATATTTTAATTGTTTTTTGAAGATAATACAATAATGCATCGATTGACTGAAAAAAATATATGATTCTATTAAAAATAAATAAGACGATCTTTATTTTTTATCGAATAAAAAATTTTTGTTAATTTTCATTATTGTAATGTATTGTCAATTGATTAACTTTTATTTAAAAAAATTTTTTGTTAGTTTAATACAAATATTTAAAAAATCATATTGCATAAATGGAAATTTTCAATAAAATATGCAATTTTTCTTTTTTTTCTTTCTTTTTTTTTATTAATTACATTTTTTTTCTTTTATAAAACAAATGTATTTTATATATTACAATTATAATAATTATAATTAAATTATACTCCTATAATTAATTATAATTATAATTAATTATAATTATAGAAGTATAATTACATCAAATTCGAACATTAATTTAGATCAATTCCAAGCTTATAAATATTGATAAAAAAAATTAAGATTATTGCTATTATTATTGATAATATTATTAAAATTTTTTATTAAAAATAAAATTTAAAAATATGATAATTCAGTACATAAATAGATAAATTTATAACAAGTAGCATATATTTGAAAAAATTTATATTAAAATTTTAATTTCAATTATATACCATAAAATTTCATATTAAAAACTATGGTTATTTATCATTTATTAGTATATTGCAATAAAAAAATTTGCAATTTAAAAAAAAACTTCAAATTTTATATTTTCACCCATTGAATCAAAATATGGCAACAGTGTAACAAAAATAGAATAGTCTTATTCTATTTCCATCTTTTTGATCTAACACAAATCTTAATATTATATATTTCTATACAGTAATTTCTCTATTTGTTTTGGTTTCAAAATCGATTCTTTAAAGATGTCCTACAAATTTATTAACATTCTCTATATATAAGAAAAAAAATGATTATTTTTAAATTTTGAAAAGATTTATAAAAGAGATAGTATAATAAAGTAGTTGAATAATACGATTGTCAAGTTACCTTGATCAAATTATAGTTAAATTTTCGATAAAAATTAAATTTTCGATTAATAAAAAATGTTTTTTTTTTTTACTCTCTCCATACAAATTATTCGTTATTCGAAGAAATATTTCAAATAAAATTATTCTGTTTCCAGGAGAACGTTTTATAATGGATATAAATCTTATTTAATTGTAAGTATAAGTGCCTCTAAGATTTCAAAGCGACTTTTGTTTTTTTTTTAAATAGCCTATATATTATCATTTAATCATCGCGTAATTTATTTCAAGGTGAATTCATTATATCTTTCAAAATATAAGGTGTTCCATTCCGTTTATTTTGTAAAACTTTATCAACATATTCTACGAATAAAAATAAAAAAATGTTATATAAACATATATGATATTTTTTTCTTATTTTTATTCATAGAATATATTGACAAAGTAAAAAACTGGTTCATCTTATACATAAAAGGATTTAATTTTCAAGAAATTCAAGGCGTTACAAGTTTCATATTTTGAGCCTCGATCAAATTAAACAATAACTTAATTTTTATTTGATTTATTTTAAATAATTTGATGACAGTTTCTTTTCTATTCTTTTATTTCTATTATTTTCAATTCCATGTATAGAATTTGTGATTGAATAATATACACATGTATGAATTCCTATTTTTCGAGATCCAAAACGATCCTCTTCCGCCTATGTTTTAATAAACCATCATTACTAAAATTATTTATATTCATTATTCACAAAAACACGAAATTAATTTTTTACATTACAAAATAATTAATAATTAAAAAATATTATAATTACAATTAAAAATATTATATTAAGAATAACAAATATATAAATTTTTTAATTTATAAATATTGATTTAGCAAATGACATCAAATTTAATATCGTTATACTTCGTTCTAAGCAAGAATATTATTATATATGGCGTATGAATTTTTATGATTGGCGACAAGACGAACGACATCAGTAAAATTTAGAAGATATCGAATGTTGTTTGTAATGCGGTTTAAGATCGGTGTAAAACATAGGACGCGAATATCTTCTTGAACGAAACCAATTGAAGACGGAACCACTATACTCTCTGCGTCAGTGACGTTCATAAATATACAATCACGCATGTCTCGAGCACTTTTTAAAGTGGTAAACGACGTGATACATATCTTTTCAAACTTTCGACTCATGTCGAATTATGTTTTGACGTTTTTAATCTACATACGATGAAGAGAAATAAAATCTTAGTAGGTATCTTTTTTAATGTGAATTATCGAATTTACATTGATAAGACATTCTTCTGTTGTAATTTCAAATTTCCCTTCGAAATTTATAGAATAATGTAATTTTAGACAATTTTTATTAAATTTTCATTAATTTTTTTTGTTATTGAAACTTAAAAAATATCAGAATATGATTCATTATGAAAGATAAAACATTTAAATTAAATATATTCTGTATTTATGACAACATATTTATGATAAAATCTTTTTAAAATTATATTAAATTATATTTTTAAATTATATTATATATATCTGAAACAAATATTTCTTTACAATATATTTTTTAAATATATTTTTTTTTATAAAACAAAAAACAAACTATATAATAAATATATTTTTTATTTAATAAATATATTTACATTTTCTTTATATAAACATTTATTTTATATAACATAATAAATATATTTTTTATTTTTTATAAAACATAAAACAAAAAAAACAAAGCCATTAATCTTAATAATTGCACTGTTTTTTAAAAATATACACTAAAATTTATTTTATTTTTATTTTTAAATTTGTAGGAATTATTGTTTGTATTATCATATTACTTAATCATTTTTTGAAATGATTAAATCCAAGAATTTTGCATCACGTATTTTAATTTTCCTTATTAAAATTAATATTTTATAAAATCAATATTCAATAATCAATATCAGAAATCATCCAATCAATTTCTTAGAAGAAGAAAAATTCAAGGTTAATTATGCTATATGTGATATTGAATAGGCATATGTCTTTTCTTTATAATTTAATTTTTCTTATAATTAATAATGTGATTAATAATGTGAATAATAAATATCAACTTCATTTCATAATTAAAATATTCATTCATTTTTGTTCTAAATGTATCACTTCTTCTAAAATTTATTTTTGACATAAAATAATTAAATATTTGTTTATCTTTACGAAATTTTAAAAGATCAATTTTCCTCGCATTAAGAAACTCGCAATTAAAATTATCAAATGTAAATTTCGTTAAAGTCAATGTTTAATCGATACAAATGTTATCTGATATATCTTCAACTGTGTTCCATTATAAATCAGAGCCAAACAAATTTTCTTCGGCAATCAATATGAACTGTCAAATAAAAGAATTTCGAAGAATCAATAGACGAATAGTTTGAATCAGGAAAAATTGTTGCTAAGCAAACGAAAATTTGATATTTAACAAATCACTAACTAAAATAAAATTTCATTGAATCAAACTCTTTGAACAGAGAGAACAATTTTTTTTTTCGTTGAGTTAATTTCCGGATGAGAATTGTTCAAAAATTTTATTAGCGCATTCTTTATAACAAATCATCAATAGTTTAAATTATATAATAATTATGTATAATCATTATGAATCATTTTTTAGAAATGAAATTTAAATTAAGAAAATTGAAATTTAAAAAAACAAGTGAAAATTAATCTTTTAATAATTAATTTGAAAGTGAATATATTGAATAATGATGCAGATATATATTAATAAGTAATCTTGATTTATTTTAGAAAATTTAAAAATTTAAAATATTGAAAAAAATTGAAATGGAGGAAATTTAAGGTAGTATTTAATAAAATAAATTTTACGAAGATTTGAATATATCGAAATAAAAGATTCGTTTCAAATTTTTTTTTATAAATTTCTAAATCTCTTTGTTTAAGCTTTGTTATATTTAAATATAATTATCTTATAAGTAAAATATAATATATAAATGTAATGTAATGAAAGTAAATAAATAGATATATACAATTACATACTATGTTTTTATATCTAATAAAATACAATATTAATTTTTCCAAAAACTTTTCTTTTTTAGTAAATTGTGAAATAAAAAATCTGTTTTTATCAAATTTGATATTCTGCTATTAATGTTCAAATATACATATTTCATTTTATTCATAGTTTCCTAATAGTAAAAATTTTATTATTTCTACTATTTTTTCTTTAAGCCTTATTACAATTATTATAACTCATTTATTTTATTATAGCGTACGAATAAATGAAATTTTTCAAATTTTTCCACAAAACAAAATAAAGAACAAGAAAAGAGGGCAGCACGTACGAATGGAAAAACAAGAGGCGAGAAAACGGAAGTCA